GAACCAGCTTCTAACCCCACCTCCTACCATAAATTATGTTTGAAAATCCGACGGCGAAACTTGAAATGAAAAAACTCAAGCTACATTATACCCAAATAGTACTTATTACCATCACTTTTCTCACATTACTGCCAAGAATGATTAATGATAAGGAAATGTTGCTTTTAAGTCACGATACTAATCTTTGACTTGGTTTATGGGATATTTAAAAAAAAATCACACTTACTACCAGTTTATCGGCTGATAAACCAAGCAGGATGCTGGTAGAACAAGAGGGAAGTTTGAAAACCATTAGGAGCAGCCGATTTGTTTACAAACTTTTCTCGTATTCTCCCAACATTTCAAGTAGTTTATCACCAGAAACCGATCTAAAGTGTGGCGTATTGCTCTCATGACATAAATTTGAGGGAAGTTTGTCAGACAGAATGATAATTTTATCTTCTTTTACGGTCAAGTCGCTGATTCTCGTGAAACCCATGCCATCAAAAGTGCAATAAACCAATCAAAGCTTCGGAATCTAAATTACATACCCGCCAGGAGAGCGAATGTCAGTTCTAAAATTTTAACTAGTGAGATTTATCAAATGAAAGCTGAAATCACGGACAGCAAACGGAATTCACGTAAATCTTGAGAGCGCATTCACTTTGCAAGTGGTTTTCTTATAAATATCTAAATTAAAATCTAATTAGTTTGTGGCTAGAATGTTCGTGAAGCAAAAACATGCCAGCTTTTCCTTCTCGGAACGTAGTTTGGGGAATTCTTGTCGAGAATTTCTGAAGCTCTTTCGCTTTAACCGCGCCGTGATAAATAAAGGCTTAACAGACCAACCAGTTAGTTAAACTGCATTTTAACTAGAAAATTTGATAATGTTAGAAAAATAAAACGTTTGTCGTTATTTTTGACGTTTAAAGCGTCCTCTTCATTTCCTCCAAACCAAATGCTTTCACAAGTTAAAACCTGGGAATTCGCCCCTTGTGGTGCCATTTCTCAGAACGGGATGATGTTTCAGTTTTTAAGAGTTTACAGGCAAATAAACAAAAGATTTGTGACCAATCAGAGCGCGTCATGTTAAAATTCATTTTATAACATAGCGCGCGTGCTTGCTCTATATAAGTCCTATTGAGCCGCTATAAACAAAATCTTTATTTACGCACGCCCGTGCGTAAATAAGATGACGTGAGCATTTGTTTTACTGGTATACCTGTGGTAGCCCAGTCATAAAATGCCTTTGTTTTTTTGTCTTTTTTTTTTCCTCCGCCACAAAACGGAAAAAATTGCGCAATAGTACCCAGTGGTCGTTGGGCCCTCAGCACCATGATAACTAACTGCGATCCAATGAGGTGTTCACATGCTGATCACGCGTGTTATCTTGATGATGATTGACGTTGTCATGCACGGACAGGGCCGGGTCACATGACGAACACGAGATTTTTGCTAATAAAACTCTTTTGTCGGTCGTTTTGTATTTCAACGTGTTTGGATTACGATCACCTGGAGCATTATAGCGTAAACGCTCAAAACACTTACAGACGCATACACAAGTCGTATTGTTCGCGGCCAATCCACACTAAAATATGTTATTGAGCGGTAATTTTGGAACGGATTGAGTCGCGAACGCTTGAAAGCCATGAAAGCCTTGAATGCCTTGTATGCCAAGTATGCCAGTGTCTTAGTTGAAAAACGTACACTTGTTGTAAAAAGCAAAATCTGAAATCTGAAACCAAACTGCATATACTTTATGCAATCTATTGAACAACACTACTACCGTGAGACTGCAGAAGAAAACTTTAATGGATGCAAACTGCTTGTGAAGAAAGACACCATGTTGGATTCACTTCATGCCAGGGAACGTAGCTAAGATAACAGTGCGAATGGTATTAATTTCGCGATCAGAAAGGTGGATCTTATGTTGGTTTTCATTGTAGTTATATGGATATTTTTTTTAATAAATACATGAGTATTGCACGCAATTGTCTTGTCACAGGCGGCCCAAGCTCACGTCTCGAGAAAAAGCCAACGATTAATTCATGAACGCGTCACGCGTTGTGTGACTCGGTGTTCAGTTACGAGAGGAACCGTTGAATATTTGAACACGTTATAGGGAATAGTATAGGGAACGAAATATGGCCGATTTACAACGATAAATATTTCGAAACATGAACATTTTTTTCGTAAAATCAATAAAACTTTCTTTTTTTCTATCCGTTGTAGTTTCTGGCGATTTCTGCCGTTTAAGCGAGCTTTACCATCACTGTTATTCACGTCATCTACTTTTATTGCGTTGGTAAAATCTGTACAGACATCACACCAACCAAATCGCGCGCAAAGTAGGAAGACTATATTGAAGGCTTGAAATTATATTACGATCGATTTTCATCGAGAAATGGGCCAGGAATATTCCACAATAGTGCAAATAATTGTGAAAGCTGATCGCGGAAAAGCGATTGGCTGACGCTCGGTAAGCTGTAAGATGACATGTTATTATATACCAGACGTAAAAACTCTTCAGATTCTTAGTCTGATTTTGTATATTTTGTATCCAGTCTGAAGTCTGCAGTCTATATTTTGTATCCAGTCTGCAGTCTGCTGTCTGCATTTTGTACTAACAGGTATCCGTGGCACCAATACAGTTTATTTTTGGTTACATTATTCGCACAATACATACAATCTACAAAAAATTCCTGTGTAAGAATTAATTCGACATTTTTTGTTCTTTTCCGCGTTAATGCTCTTCTTTCCTTTTGTAAGAATGTAGACATCACTTACAATGTTTCAAGTAATCCACCCACCCTACAAAAAATAACTCTTGCATGCATAGCATGCCTATGTTTTGAAATAGGTGTATGCCCTTGGCCAGACTTGAGCTCACTATTTCAGTATTCTAGTCCGACACCCATAGTATCACTACACTTGATTCCAAGGATCCAGTACCATCCAGGTATCCCAGTTACCCTGCTCACAGGGTCTAGTTGAACCTGGCTTCAGGGTTTCCGTCCTGTTAAGCTGCAATGCAGTTTTTCTTCTCTTTGAAATGTGGAAGAAACCAGTGAAGAACTACCCAATTTTTCTATCGGCATTGACCTTTTAGTTCTTGATCTAACAAGCAACAAAATAAAGCCGAAAAAAACTCGTAAGTTGTACGTTTCGCAAATTTGTCGGAAGACCAGCTCCAGCAAATTCGGGTCTTTGACTTTTAAAACATTTTTTTAGTGACACTTGAGTTCATCCGGCTTTGATCTCAGTTCTCCATTTTCCCCGTAAATTTTGAGCTTTTCATCCACAGTTATCGGTTAAATGGATCAAACGTTGTCGCTCAAACCAAAGTATAAAATGTGGCGTGATTTTGACCAGCCAATAAGGACGTTTGTTTACTTTTTTTTGTGCGTTGTGAGAATTTTGCACTTTATCACAATAAAAGGCCTCTTCGCGCAGATCCTTGTTGTCGCTCTGTTATAAAAGAATTTGCTCACGCTTTTAGCTGTGCGTATGTCGAGTTATGGATGCACTTGGGAATTAGGAGAGCACTCAAAAAGCTAGAGTTGCTCTCGGCTGCGCCTCGAGCTACTCTTACGCATTTTTCGTGCTCTTCAAACTTCCCACGTGCATCCATAACGCGATATACGCAGGCTAAGCAGGAACAAATTCTTCGTCGCAGTTAAAGTTTAAACAACAAAGATTGCACACAGACTTTCCCCGCTCACAACTATGACACTAACATACTCTCGGACCTGCGGATTCTCAGCTTTTAAGGGAAATCATGGTATTATTCTACAAAGTTATGCAGTATGGTGCAAATTATCGTAATACTACCTAATTTTTATTAATTTTTAAATTTTTATTTTTTCAAAATTGACATTTAACTAATATTCCTCTTGACGTTCTAGCAGTTTTTTTTTAATTAGTCTTGAATTGTACGGCTAAACTTCTTCATATTACCTATGTGGCTGCTGAAATTATGCGTGCGTTGATATACTGCCACAGCAGCGAACTTTTAAGTACTTAAGTAAATCTTATGACTCTGAACTCAGATTAAAGCCAAGATATATTCATGTTGAAAATTACAGTGTAAACAACACTCCATGGACAACTTCAGCTCCTTGAACAGCAATTCAGTCCTTTGACGTAATGATAATGAAATCCCTGCTTGCAATAATCAAGGACATGACGAGAAGTGAGAAAATTAACATCTGAAGAATGTTACACTCAAACAACATCATACTCGCCAGAATTACCAAAAAAGGCATTCAATGATGATTTCAGATCTTTTGGAGTGAATTTAGGCTCAATTGAAAACATCTGCGCCTGTTCTGTTTGTAAATAGTGTTTTAATTAAATGCACATTTAAGTCCTATCGTTTCGTGAGCAAATATTAAATTCAGATTATGATGAATCCTCGCTACGGGATGTGATCGGATTAAAAAGCTATCTATTTAACAAATAGAGAAGCCTTAACTGTGCTCTGTTAGGTTGTAAAGCACGCAGGAAGCGGCTAGAGCACGAAAGAAGTGTAGGGAGAAACACTCGACTACGTCTCGTGTTTCTCCCCACTTCTTGAGTGCTTTGGCCGCTTCCTAAGTGCTTTACAACAGAAGACAGCGCAGTCAAGGCTTTTCTATTTGCTTTATAGTGAAGAATCCATGAAATTCCCTCAGCATTACCTTCAATTTTCAAAACAAAATTTATTTCCAAAGCGAACAACCCAAAGCGAACAACCCAAAGCGAACCCAAAGCGAACAACCCAAAGCGAACAACACAAAGCGAACAACATTGTCGTCAGCATGCTCTATACTCTCATAGAGCACGCTACAATAAGCCAATCAGTATCCCTATTAGAATGGTTCAAATGATCTGATTGGCTGTACAAGTCTACAGTTGTCAAAAATGTCAAACCATCAAAGTTCACATTCTGCAATAGTTTACAAACTAAATAGTTCGGCAGGTCGAATTTAACATTTTTGAAGTTTCTAATACAGAATCTTACAGTGAAATGTTCAGTGAAATTCCGCCGAATTATGGCTCATAAAAACACGCGAGTTTTTTCACATGACAAGGTAGAAAACAAACTGTTCAAGGCGAGTGTTTTTTGAATGACCGACAGCCGAATTTCACCGGAACATGAAGATCGCTCGGGATGACAGCGCCGCAAAACTCGGCTGCAGTGACTGATGTGACTTTCCGCTCAACGCATTGGAAAGGATATCAGAGCAAGCTCTTATTTTTTCACTCGAAGGGCGGCCGATGAGGTTTGCTTTAGTGCGATGACGGGAGATCGCCATGATGAGCGAGCCGCGATGGACTTCCGCATGATCATATTCTCTCTGACACCGTCATGATTAGTATGAATTTTAACAGTTATGCCAGTTTGGTTATATTTTTCATCATTTCTGTTTTGTTCTGTTTTGTTTCTTTTGTTTTTGAACACTGAACTTTATATACTATACGAGTGTTAGCTGTGTTTGATTTTTATTACCGTACGTAAGCTTACAAAATAACTGAGCGCAAAAATCTTTAAAACTCGGAATGTCTATTTGTGTTTCCTGGCGTAACAGCTTTTTCTCAGCTCTATGCTCTATACTCTCATAGAGCACGCTCTTTCAATCAATGACAGCGCGCGTTGTATCCGTCAGAAGAAACTAGAGGTTAAAGTAATACGTTGCGGTTTGACTTCCGCAACAATTTTTGCCTTAAGTGGTACAGATTGCTTTTTCTTACGAGACAGCAGCCAATTCTGGTTCAGAATGCTTAATTACTTATCTATTACAACCTTTCTATCTGTTTTCTGAAATCAACCTACGCAAACGACATGCAAATATGACGACGAAATAATTAGCATGTCCTTCCTTGCTTAATGGTGACAAGAACATTGTTTACATATTGTTCTCTACTCACTTAATTTCCGCTTCACTGCGAAATCGCAGCGACAAATTGTCACAATCATTTCGTAAAGTAAGACCATACAAGTTACAATTCATTTACATTTACTTTAATTAATATCGGGTAGGTCAAACATTGTAGCAAATAAGCCTGTTATTTTCTAATTAAGTATGTTCAAAGACATTTCATAAGACATTTGCGATATAGATTCGTCATCCCTTTGCGAAAGGACTTGCTTGCTATGGAATAAATAACTGGATTTGCGGAAGAATTTGTTATCACAAATAATGTCACTGCAAACAATGTATTTTCGTAATAATCCTGCGTCGCAAGGGATGGCCAAAACGCGAGAGTGAGGCGAAGAATAGTTAAAGGAAACATTGTTATCGCAAATACAACAACGACAGGTGTAAGGATTTTCTTTGCGCGTTTGTTTTGACGCAGACGAATACTTTGAACGCTAGTTACAGCACCTTGCAGATTAGCCTCCGCGCCATTCTGGCCCCGTTTCATGGCGTATAGAAAGTTGCTACTATGGTTTATTGCTCGTGATATCGCAAGATAAGTCCAACATATGACACCAAGAGGAATAATATAGCCAAACGTGGTCATTAAACACAAATACAACTGCGCAAAAAACAAAGAAGGCCAAATTGGCCCGCACCATTTTGCGGCCCCGCCGTGAGGCAGCCCAAAACTTACCACAAAATACAATGGTAAACTGAAAACTAAAAACGACGTCACCCAAATACAACCAGCGATTGTCTTGGTGTATTTCAACGAAAATTTGTTTCTGTTCTTGATCGCTTTTCGTGGAATAACTATTTTCCGGTATCGCACGATGGCAATGACAACAATAAACCACACGGAAGTTCCATGGAATATTTCAGGTAACGGAGACGAATAGAGGCAAGCGAACTCTCCAAGAGGCCAGTTCGTCGGAGCGTTTTCTTTGATGGCTACCAGCGGAAATGATATCAATAAAATTCCAAGATCTGCAATGGCCAAGTTTAAAAGGTAGAAGTCAGTTGCCGTTTTCTTCTTGCCCAGTCCTTTCACAACAACTGCTACTAAAACATTTCCAAATATTCCAAAGAGAGCTATAAACACCTCCACGCTCAGTTTTATGATACTAAACCGAGACAATTTCGAAGTGATAAACTCAGAACTCGTATTGTTCATGACAGAAGAGTTGTTTTGATCCTTTATCAATCGATTACCAATCTGTTTCCCCTTCGTAGCTTTTTACGAAATGTTTTGGTTGCGTTAGAGTTAAAACTCAGGGCTTCTTTGCGGAAGTTTGCAGCTCCAGTAATATCACCCCTTGGCTCAATCATTCAACACTGTTGCGTCAATGCTAGGTCCTAACTATTCAAGTGAATCAATCGATGTCAATTCACAACGGGAAATTTTAAAACAATCACTTCCCGTGAAAAAAATCAATATCATCTGACAAAATTAAGTGATCACGCTGATAATAGAAAATGAGCTAAAAACGTGATTGAATATGGAATGAATCTAATTCTTGGTGCCAGTAAAATCAAAGCTCTCTCTCCGGGCAGTGCTGAGTAATGCATAGTACTCTGTTTGAAATATCATTGCGCCAGCTGTTAGTATTTTCAAGAACCGCTTTTTTAATCAAATGCTGCCCACCTGCTGATGGATCCGGCTCGTTGCGAGGACGCAAACATCACGACAGAACTAAACAGGAATGTAACACCCAATAGCAATGGAACACCAGCAGAACTGCATTTCGTTCTTTTCTTCTTTAATTTTTGTTGAGCATTTTCCCTACAAAGCATGAGCAGTGATATTTATTTTTTTCTAAGTCATCCGTGAGGCTGTTTTTTAGACCTTGAAAATTGTTTAATTTTAAACGCACGAACTGTTAAATTTTTAATTTCTTGAACTCGCAGCGAATTAAATCACTCCGAGAGGATATATCAACTTATGTTGACAATACGACAGCGCTTTCCTCCGCGCAGATTTCACAGGTCATGCTGTTTCAATATCGAATGGAAAGCTATCGACTCGGTTTCCATTTTTTCCCTTTACAATTTACAAACGTCGCTGTTTGTCATTCCCTTATCTTTCCTCTTCGTCATTACTTAGCGTTTTTTCGTGTTAATTAATTTTAAGATAATAAATATGAAGAGAAAGAAGTGGTTGTTGTGCTGTTCTTCCTTTGAAACTCTAAGGGATGATAACAAGAAAATCTTAAAATTTTACAATTAATGGATTGCTTACACAAAAAATGGCTTTTTGTCTTCTTTGTTTTCGTTTGTTTCTTTCGTTTGTTTTTTTTTTTACAAAGCCAGCTGTATGAAGATCCAATAGACCACATGCATCCCGAGCTCACACCTTGCGAAAAGCGAAATGAAAATATAGCCTTTAATCACATCAGACTCGAGGTCTGAAAATTAGGGGAAATAATTTTAAGGAATATCCCTGGATATACATGTGGACCGTCACATGACGCGTACGAGTTTAAACCGATCGCGTGTACACGAAGATAGATGATGGATTAAGATGTTACAATATCATGAGTTGCTTACCACCACGTCTATTCTCTTGGTTTATCAGACCAAAATCAATTTCAATTGTAATGTTCTCCTTCCTACTGATATCAATTGTTTCATCAAAACCACATTTATCTCCTTATGCATATTAATTTGGATATCATAGTACGTCTAACAGTTTCGCGCACGACTTGGGTAAATGCCTAAGTGAGATTCAATGAGGGCACTGTGTTGTCATGACAGAAGAGGAAATAAACTCAACTGTTTATAGGTCTTTATGATATCGCTCTGCAAACTCAACTGATCCATTTTTGTGAGCTTTTTGCAAGCATTTCGTTGATTGTTCACATACAAATATAAGCGATCATAAGAGGTGATAAAAAAAAAAGGGCAGTAATGGGCTCCTGAAAAGGGCTATTTCGAATTCCAATGTCTCTGAGGAAATTTGTCCAAATTCCTGTTGAATAAGAATTCAGAATCTTCCCCGAACGTTTAGAGCGAACACAGGCGCGAGAAAGATGGCTTTAGGTGTCGGGTATAGAAGTTTATTAAGGGAACATTTTTTTATCTGCAGTGAATCCTAACTACCCTGGAAAAGCGCAATGGCCCACCAAACTTTTGAAAAGTCTGAAATTCTAAAGCTAATATGGACGAACGAGGGCTTTACCATTTGTCTAGCCGAACGGTGGTATTTCCGACAGGTTCGAACGAACTATTGTTGAGAGAGTGATCGTCAAATTGTTCAGTTAGTGAAATGGAGCGAAATAGTGCTGGAGACAGCGCGATAGAAACAGCAGAGCGAAAAGGAAGGAGGTTTGGGTCGAGTAGCGTTCAGTACCCGACCCGACCCAACCTCCCTAGTTTTTATCACCCCTCTGCACCCACTAAACGCCTGGAACGAGCTATTTTATGACGGGCTATTTTCAAACTTGCCGCTTCCAGGAGAGAACGATATTACAAGGTGGCGATTAGACATGATTTTATGTTCGAGTGGCAAAAAAATATATTATTCATGCCTCGAGAACATAAAATTCAAATCTTTGAACTAACGTGTATTTTCTTTTTATTATATGGACAATAAAACACACACAGTAGAGGATGAAAAGCTGGCTTCAATACAAGTACTGGGTATCAACAGAAACAAAATTTACCGGTGCCTATATTACAAAAAGGTTTACATGTAACACCGTCAGTTAGGCCAAAATACATCTGAATTAATGAAAATTCTGTTGCTAACCCTGACTTGAATCACCGGATACTTCTATTTTTAGCCTCTTTTAACTACGAACCTTTGAAGAGTGTTCAACACAAACACAGAAAAAAATTACCTTTGCCTCGTTGATACTTTCGAGAGATTTTTTGGAATTCTATAGAACATATGGCGTTTTATTTTTGGTGTTCTCGTTCTCTTGTTCAGAAAATGCATTTACATCTTCTTCCCTTACCATAACATATCTCACGGCTATTTATATATTTCAAACAACAAACAAGCCAAGTTGATTTAGCTAAGTTTGAAAAGGCAGGAATTGGACGTCATTGTTCAATATCGCTACTCGTGTTACATACGAAAAATACGCAACTTGGTTCTCGGAAAAAGTGGTCGTAATGATTCTGCAAGTGCTTTAGTTCTTGGTACGACACACACGTCCGTACATAACAATAACTTATTTTTGCAATGACAAAGGTAAAAATTGAAGGAGAAATCTAAATTTTCGCATCCAAACCACCATTAGAGAAACTTTGTGTTGCACTTCATCGCAGAACACTTTGAGGGAACAGTTCGAAACGAGCACAATCTATTTTTGTTTCGGTTAAACAACAAATAATTAAGTTCCTAACAATTCTCGTAGCAGAAACTCGAATTTGCTTTATTAAACGCTTTTGAAACTGGCGTACGCTCGCCATCGCGTGCGCAAAGTCACATCTTACAAGTGTGTGTCTACAATACAAAACAACGAGATCGATGACCTATATATTTGGAAAAGGTCTCACTTAACTCAGGAGGCTTCGACAAGAAATCCAAGAATTCGATGATTTTTTTTCCCTTTATTGGTCACTTGCGAAAAAATAATCAAGTAGTTTTGTATTTGAATTTACATTTTTTGAGAATGTATCACTCTTTCATGATGTAGACGGTGATATATACAGAAATCCAACCATGTGGGATGGTGGCAACACCCAGCTGCCGGGGCAGTTATATTTTTAGTTAAGTACTTGTCTGTACTATGAAATTTCCTACAATCCTAAAATATCTTTAGAAAGGAAGGCAAGCCTAGAACGCAACCTTCTATTGATACTCTGATAGCGGTACGAATCCTCTTGGCTCTAAAAATGTATCTATTTCAAAGAGTAAAGTTTTCAATATGTTAATACTTGAGGTATACTTACTCAGTCCTAGCTAGGAATATTGGGTTGCAGAATTCTGGAAACAAAAGCTTCGTAAACGCAATCTAGTACTTCTCCTCTAAAAGGGAGCGAGTGCTACTCAGTAAGAGGATGCTGCTTTGCATGCAGGGACGCTAGAGCATATCGAGGGTTTGAACTAGCTAGCAAGCAAAAGTTTTTCGTCTATCTTCTAGGAAATACTACTACTTATTATTTAATTTAAGTGTAAGGACTTAAATATAAAAAAAACCGGATCCGAAGAAGATTTCTAAATACGCACTTCTTGTGATTAAAAGTACTTTAATGGCTTTCTAGACATCAAGTCATATTCGAAATTGCAGTGGAAAAGGGAGATGTCATTCATTTTATAATTACAACTGAATTAGACTGAAAACATCAACCATAGCGGATAAACCTTTAACCAAATATCATATGAAAATGAAAATTTGATATCTTGAGCAACTTTCGTGACTTTAAGGATGCAAGTTTTGGCAAAAAAGTTGTTGTTTGATTCATAATCGTCTGGTTGTGTGCACAGGGAATCCTATCAATAATGCCATCTTGTTTATCCGGATCAACATCGTGTTTTGGCGGTGTTATAAACTGACTTCCATTTGGAGACCCATGCATTACCACAACAAAGTGGCAGCCAGTTGAAAGGTTTTAGCGCCTCAAAATCGCATTTAGTCTTGTACTGCGATACAGCCGTGATAAGCATCAATGACAAATCAGTCAGTGCCTGATCAATATTCAAACAAAACTATTTGCGATACATGTCCATAACAACAGTGTCTCTTATGCAATACCTTTCGCGGCTATGTGAATCCCAATTGACCGTACACACTAATGTGTTTTGAAAAGTGTCCACTTTGTCTCAAACAAAACGAAGCAAAACATTCTCACCCACATTAGCGTTTTTGTTTTGCTCTCAACTGTAGACACTACTTTTTTTATGCTGAAAACTTTCACATATCGATGCATTTCTGCCCATCATCCATCACGAACCCCAAAAAGCTGTTGTTAGCCACCAAATACATGTATGAAACAATTTTCGTCACCGTCTTCGGAACTCTACATTTTCATTCATCTACACTAGACACAGAGCTGCCCATAAATGATGCATTTTTAAAGCAACCCTCTTTGGAAACTGTTTAAGAAAGTCTCCGTTTTCATGAACGTTTACGGGCGTTTTAGCGTGGACGATAGGAACGGAAGCATTGAAAAATATGCGTTTTCGAACCCTTTGGCTTAACCCTTAACTTCGAAAGTGAGCTAATTTGGAAAGCAAAAGGATTACCGCAAGTCGTTGGAGTAGAGTGTGAAGTCTTGGGACTTACTAAATATGCAGCACTCAGCTCTGATTTTTTTTTTTTTGGAACACTGTGTAAAACATTTTTTCAGTATCTGGAGGTATGAAGGATGGAAAACTTTCCTCTGTAATTGGTGAAAGCTAATTTCATGAACGAAATCAGTTTAGAGAGGTCTGAAATCAGGCTTGGTCTGCTGCCAAGATGATCTGTCGATTAGAAATTTTTCAGGCTTATGGAAGCAATATGTTATTTGTAAAACCAACCGATCACAATCTTTTAGTTAAAATTTGTAGAACGGTAGGGCGAGCGGAAGTCTGAATGCCTAGGGGCAGTGCACGGTGTAATGTTAAAGTATTATTCTTGCTCCTGGCGAGACGAGCTTTCAAAAACAAAAAAAAATGCAGACCTTGATAGGAGAGAAAGTTGATTTGATATTGACACTCTAAGCCTGGCCTTCATCAAAGAGCAGCATACGTGCAATCGCATTTCCTGTAATGGAAACTTTATTTGTTCACGTCAATTAATATATAGAATTAATATATACAGTAGCTTTATTCATATGTAGCCAATGTTGTCATTCTGAGTCAGCTTTTTTTTTCATCGCGTTCCCTTACATTCAAAGATTGGTTTCGTTTTCGTCGAAGTTAAATTTCCTTGAATTAATGGACGGTGATACATGTATGTCTTGGTGATCACGAGACCTTCGACTAAATGTCGACGACCCCTGAAAAATATTTGAAAAATAACCCGACCTAGTTTTTCTGAGTGCTCGAAGAAGAACATTCTTCATGCAGCGCCGAAACTGGCTGCTTACAATGGAATAAATAACAGGATTAACGGAAGAGTTCAAAATTACAAACAACGTGACTGTAAACATTAAATTTTCATAATACTTTTGAAGGGTAAGAGCAGGCCAAGATATGAAAATTAGTCGTATAATTGTTATAGGAAGCATTGTAACTCCGAATACCACAACGATTGGTGTGAGAATCCTCTTTGCTCGTTTATTCTGACGGAGTCGAAGAGCTTCAAGCTTAGTTTGGCTTGAAGTCTCTTGATTTCTTTTAAAATTCCTGAGAAACGAGCTGCTTTGTTTTAACTTGCGTGATATCGCCAAATATGTCCAATATATGATAGCAAGGGGAAGGACATACGATAATAAAGTCAATATCACTACGTATACTTGTAGTAATAACAACGACGGCCATGTTGGACCACACCATTTTCCACCAGTTGGAAGTTCACGATATTTAACTACGAAATATAAAGGTAGAGAAAACACTAACAATGACATCATCCACATGAAAAAAGCAATGATTCTGGCTCTTTTTAAGGGCGTCTTGCTGATTTTTTCCTTGGGTTTCCGTAGGAAGACTATCTTGCGATACCTCTCAATTGCTATAACTGTGATGCACCAAACTGATGCGCCGTAAAATGCTTCAGGGAGGGAAGATAAGTAGAGGCAAGAGAATCTTCCGAAAGGCCAGCGCGTGGGAAGCTCCATTCTTATAACCAAGAGAGGAAAGACGAAAAGTAACATCCCAAGGTCTGCAATTGCTAAGTTTTGAAGATAAAAGTCAGCAGACGTTTTCTTTTTTACGAATTTTCCAAACACGAAGACCACCATTAGGTTTCCAAAAACCCCAAACAAGGTCACTATGACTTGTAGGGTGAGTTTTACAATCAAGGATAAAATCATTTCTGCGTCGTCTTCAAGCGAGACTAGATTCAGGTAAGGATATGCTTCTGCTTTAAGAACATTTACATGCAATGATCATTTCCATAAACGTGCTCCTCGCTCCCAAGTTGGTTGGTTGGCTGCTTCCAGTCACGAGGGCAATTTCAATGGCTAACGTTGATGGATAACAGTTGGACGTCTCATCTTTTCCCGTCTTTATTCAATATTTAATGAGTGATATCTATAGCTTCAGCGCCCCAAAAGTTGATCTCTTCGATTAGCATTCTTCAAGTGCATATCAATTTCCATGGTTTTATTACCAAAAGACTGTCGACTGGATTAATCATTACCCACGAAATCCTTATTAAATTGCTTTGTTTTTGAAAGAAGCACTCGTTACCGCTAATTATGAAACATGATTTGGATGCATGGGCGAACAGATTTAAAACTTCGACACAAACATGAAAAGATCTACGGTAATCGAGAGATCCATTATTTATATCTAGAATTTCATTATTATGTATCATTTTTATCTTATTGAAATACCGCAAATAAACATTGACTCTTAAGAACATGTTTTAAGTATGAGATTACTTGAACACTTACGTAACTTCCAAAAACAAACGCCGATTCAAAATTGCTGTTAGCATCTCAATCACAAAAACACTGAAAGACACCACATAGCCGGCATGATCTTTCCAACTCATTATGTATTCCTGTAATTAGTCTATCTTCGCGCCACTTTCTTCTTTCGTTCTAAATTTGCCAAGAGGCTTTTTCCTGTCATTTGCAAAACAGTTTGTTCATAATTTCAAAAAAATTTGGAAATCAAATTTTTTGGTGTTAATATTGCTTTATTAGATCACTCCAGAAGAAAATTCGTATTTGTTATCGGCTAAGATGCTCCTTGAAAAAGTCACTTGCTGGTAAGTTTGAAAGGGAAAGGAGAAAAATGAAACCTTAAACAATGAAAAAAATAATATTTATGTCGATTATTTATTCCATTAGTCTTTCCTTTGTTTTTCTAACCGTGCAAATAAAACTCTCACGATTTGAGTTTACGTTTTGTAATGATGCCCATAAATCATTTCTGTTCAATTGAACAAATAATGTCTTTACCAATGATTTGTAATAAGCAATTTTTTGTAATGATGAAAAAACCGCATTTTATTAAGATATATATGATGTTCGACAATTGCCATCAGCACGAATCTCAATCGAGTTTCAATCGATCTCTTCACTTAGAGCAAATAATTCGTCTCACAGCATAGACATTTACGGCTTACGGATCGACTTGCAACCCTGCACGTGCCGAAATTGTGTAAATTCTGTCAACAAGTTCGAAAAGTATATTTCTTACATTTTTCGGAAGAAGATTTATGAATTCTAGCTATGCATGGAATTTGGAAATGTTCCCAAATTTCAAACGGTTGAGCTTTCATAATAAAGGGCCATCATAGCAATTGGAGAGACCTCGTCGCATGAATGGTGTGTTGAAGGCTGACCACATTCCACTGTGGTTCTGTGTTCGAAAATTAACGTGTCATCCTCAAAAATTGTGTGTATTTCCATTGAGAAGCAAATTCACATGGACTCGCTGTTACCTCCCCGAAAGATGATTATTTTTAAGGCCCATTCTGCGGGTTAAAATAGGTATTTTTAAATGCCCCGCTGATATTTTCAAGTTCTTCAGTAGGATATCTTATCATATTATTCCCTATCATATTATCACATACCTCAGCTGTGCTTGCTGAGGGTTTCCCACTGAGCTCTACGCAATTTTCCAAATTTTCATCATCAACCGAGTTTTATCCTTGGGGAAAAGTTTGCACATGATTACCGCCAATTGCACTACATACAAATCATGCTTTAAATCTATCATTACGAAGAAGACCAAAACACCGACGATTCAGTAACGTTTTGATTATTGACCCCATAATTCTTACAGTAAGCGGAGGCTGGTGTAACTCAAAATTCGCCCGCAATCTCTAGCTCAGCTATCAAGGCTCACTCCTCAACACTTTAACTTAAAAATCATGTCTTTGTGTAATGCTAGAAAGTTCCATCGATTAGAAGCAAAATTCCGAAGACATCAACTTGTTGAAGAATCTGACTGAAAGGTGTCGATAAGTCCCCGTCAAATTCGTCTCCATCGATCACTATCTGTATGAAAATGTTCAAATGGTGACATCGACTTTAGTGGTCCTTAAATAAGAACAGTGTTTTTGGTGGTCCATTTCTTTTAATAAGTATTTGTATGATTATCAGTATCGTTATTATCATTGTTATCTTCATTTACGAAATAGGAAGAAAAATCTAATCTCTCTGAACGCAGGAGAGGTCACGTCACAGACAGCTCAAGCGTAAAAAGCGAGCATGTTTAACTGTGAAGGCTTTGCTAATCAGTACCGTTGCGTAACATTGAAATCATGAGGATTTTAAGATGAATTTAAGTTACACTGAATATTCTTAAATATGGCTGATAATGTTTAAATGGATTGTATTCGCTTTGAGATGTCCATGTTGTTGTTTCGTGCGGTTTGGCCGTAATTGGTCGTCATTTGAAATCTTTATGAGTCACGTACGTTTGATTTTATTACCGTTCGGGTGATCCTTTATTAGCCTGAGGGATTTTTATGTTGAATAACGACATAGACCGAATGCTTAACCGGGAAACCGTTGAAAAAAGGGCCGAGTGCACTTAAACTACTTGCGAATCTCAAGGGTATGAATGAAAGATTACACGAGCTGAGAGCTAGAAAATTTTGGAAAAAACTGACAATTTGTTGGGAGAAAAAATTTATATCGCCCAGACCAATAAATGAAAGTATGTACTGAGCACACTTTTTTAAGAAGAGGTTTTGCGCAGTGAGATTTTCTTTTCATACTCGATGGTTTTTCATTTTATTCTATTTATTTATGTACTTAATATGTAATTGTAGTCGTTAGGAAAAGGGAATGGGGTAAAAAATAGGTGTATTTTAATTTTTGGATGTGTTCATTCGTTGCTTTAAAGCCGGTGAATGAGATACCAAGAGCGCCCTAACTGGTCACATTGAAACTTACTCTGTTCTGTTTTAACTTTATTTTATCAAGGCAAAACTGCTCTTATGTCGGTTTACCGTTGTAATATCTCCAAAAGTTTGTTTATCACTCGCCTCCAGCTCGCATCCCGCGTGGATCATTAGACCGGTAAGCCAATAGAAACGTGATCTTTTTCTCCAGCTGTCTCAGGGGGGAGTAATAGTCATAAGGCGAGAAACAAATGACGCAATTTTTACGACTTTATCTAAGCCAGTATCTGGAATCCACCATTGGTAAATAGTCGAAATATGATCAATATCATGATCAGATTTTAAAATCATTAGAAATAAAACAAAACTTATCCAGCTTAGATAAGCAATGTTGCCTAGAATCATTTAAGTGGCATGATTACCTCCATTGAGATGACTGGGTATATCAAATTTCACTTTTGTCGTCTAACGAACCCTGAAAAGAGATTTTGCTATGGTTATCAGCCTTCAACAGATGACAAACGTGACTCCAATGTTTGCTGCAACCGGCCCTATACGAGATATCTCGATTCGTAAATACTTTCAAGAGCATTAGATGGAATACGTTATTAGTTTTTGCGGTTTTTTTCCTCTGATATCTAGAAAGCTACATTTGAGTCTTTCAGACCAAACAAAGGTAAACCGAAAAAGAAAAAATAGCTGCAACCGAGACAAACAGGTTTTGTTTTTTCTGGAAAATCTTTATGGTGTTAGTATAAGCACGCTAGAGGATAAGGCAATGTACTTCTTTTTCTTTTTTTTTTTTTTTTTTTGAAATTATAGAATATAAGAGCAAATAAATCTTCAACTTACAGTTGCATGGGCCATAATTTTCCCTTGAACAACTGAAAAGATGATAGCAATGATGGTCTGGCAATGTTTGGGTGAAAGCTGAGGGTAAAGTTCGCAAATATGCGGTATTTTCCATCTGAACATAAACATGGACTGTGTGTTGAACACGTGCATTTTTCATTTGGTATGTTATTCCGCACAAACAACTCATGTTTCATTTCAAGCGCCGGTATTAATGACTTTGTTTTGTATGAGCCCCGTTCTGAATCATCTTTCAACAACGGGTGGGCTTTACATGTTAACCTTTCGTCCATATTCTTGCGAAAGGTATACGAAAGTCGAATGGGATTTTCATAGAAACAGTAATATATACTCTGCCAACGTCGTATTAAACAGGCTCTCATGGTGTAGCTGGTGTAGCCAAGCTTCATTCAAGTCAAATGCTGAGCATTTTGGCATTTCCTTTAGCTTAACTCTCATTGCATTGTTTTTAAGCCGAGATGCTCTGCTTCCGAGAGTGCTCCCCATCCCACTCCATCCCATTTTTTTTTCTCGTTTGTTTCGGAATTGTTCTAAAAACCTCAGCCATACAATGATTAACCGTAAAATCAAACAAAGAGAGCTTTTATTAAGGAAGCCACTAACAGTCAGTGAAGAATCTTTGCACATATTTCCTTCATATCACTATAAAACAACCTGACATGTAATTTGTTATGTAACAAGAATTCCTAAATGTCATCACAGTAAAGTTGCGGTCAGATTCCTTTTAATACCGAAACAACACTTTTAACCCAGAACTACCTAAATATATATCGCAGACAAACTTTCCATGATATAACGACTCACATATTTTCACACTTGAAAATGGTTATGGTTCTTTCAACGGTCTATTTCACCTGTGTCACTTGCCATAGTAAGATTATTTTTAAGACTTTCTTGTAACTATATCTTGAAACATTAGAAGGAACTTCCCTTGGAATCTTTCAAACGTTTAACCTCCAACCAGCGACTCACTAGTCAAATGACTCAAAAACTCAAATTACTGGCCAACTTTGACTTTCGTGCAATATTCTATTGTCTTTATTTTTTCACTAGTATGCCAAGACTTCAACCCAACCCACTGTTTGGTAGAAAACAAGCGAACCCCATTAAAAAGGTCATTAGTCGCCAATAACACGCTAGGGAGAAGTAGTTGAGGCAGAATATTGATTCTTCGACCCCCGATCAAAAGTTGAGGTAAGCTTTCAGTTTCTTTTCTTCACTGTCACCAGTCGTTGCTGTTGCGCGGTTCATAGCCATACTAAAACTCAAACGAACAAAAGAAAACGCGCATACTGCATGTTTCACAATCTTATAAGAATAAGAGCGAGCCGGAGTAGATCTTCAACCATGAAGTTGCTTCAAGTGCGCGTGATGACAATCATAATCTGCAACTGCATGCGCACCGTTTCTGGGTTTTTGGCAAGAGTTTATAATTGTTCAACAAGATGTTAAAAAACGTAAGGGATTAAGCTTATCTTACCTAAAAAGGCAGTTAACCAACTTAAGCCCGTCAGAAGCTGAAAGAAGAGTTTCAGCTTGCCACACCAAATGACTTTGATGCCGTATGATTTTTACATCAATATCTAAATAATAACAATTGCCTGGACCACAACAATTTAATTGAAAAATAAGTTCCTTTTAAAGCAAATGCGACTAAAAAGTTACGAGCGTTTTCGTCTTCAACGGTCAGCAAAGCGATACGTTAAATGAATTTTCAACACACCTTGAATCGGCAGATCAAATCAAACTGTAGCATCCGCAAAATTCAAAACTCGCCCACATAAATAGCGTCGTACCTAATAAAAAATTCTTCAAAGATTCCTCAATTATTCTTTAATCATTAATTCATAACACCCTATTTTCGTAAATGAGTCTTCTCAGAGCTATGTTCGAACCAAGGTTTAATCTGCATTCATGTACACGTAACATTTTGTTCTTACACTTTATCACATTAACAGTAAAATATTGCATAGAAACAACATTAATTCTTATCTGGCATTCAAGATTCTACAGCAACTGAGTTAAATGGCATGATACCGAGAGATAAGTTTCTGATAGCCTCCTTATGTACGATCACTCAGGTTCACAACATTGAAACTCCATTAAAAGTATCATAAAGGTGTTTCCCATAATTATGACGATGGTTGAATAATTGAAATAACTGCGAGCAAGGTATTTGTGCAAAACAGCGTTTTAGCCCTGTCATACAACTGGAAAAATGATTACTATAGGTCAAATGTGAGAGATTTCGACGGAAGGCTAAGTTGGCAAAAATGTGTTATGGCGTGGATAAATTACAAGCTTAAACATATCGTGTTGTTACTTTTCCATGAGAGGTCCACAAGTCCTGCCGATCACTGGCCTCGTGCCTGTGGCAAACTGGGCTAAATCGGTCTGAATTTCCTGTAAGATCATATTTTAGGACTTCCTCCAGCGTTTTAGCCTTGTTGAAGGATTAAAACAATCCATGAGAGAGATCCCCGTTGGTAAACATTTAAGCGTTTGCCAACATAAGTTTTTTTCTTCAGGTATTCAGGCCCCTCTGTGGTGCAATTTTTATTAGGGTCTTCTTCAAAATTTGACAGATCTTAATAAAAGACTGAGCGCACAGGAAGAAAACTCGATAAAAGGCACGTATCGTATATCTATCCTGATGACATCCTGCAAGAACAAAGATGTTTTGAAATGGAATACTGGAATATTTCACACAGCAAACGTCACGAAGGGAAACCATAACCCAGAAAGAAAAAACTTAATTAGTTAAAAATGATAAATGTATATTTTAGTTCTGCCCACTTTAGTGATGCAAAACAATAAAATCATGTTAGCTTTCAATCTACTATGGAATGTCATGAGCTTCATAAGAGCTAAATGCGTCTAATGGCTTCTAATTATCGATTTTGAGGAGGTGATTTGAAAAAATAATTTCTAAAACAGTAAATAACTAATCTCAGTGGAGCGTTAGTGAGTGTAGCTAGCGAGGAGCTTACAAATATTAGAACGCACTATTTTTTCAGGGTCTGGTTATAGCTTCCAGGTTTTTGAGCCTTGAAAAAGTGGTGAAAAAGAGGGCTCCACGGTATAAAAATAAGGCTGCAAATGTTCGTCGGCAAATTTTATTTCAATTAAATGACTTGAAATGCCCTTCAGATTGCAGAAATGGCGTCTTTTTATTGGAAAGCAGTCTTTCTCCTATGTTGGATGGTCGTGGTGTCCGTGGCCCGTCGTAGACAACTAACAAAGAACCCCAACCGCACGAGGGACCAAAGAAGAGGTACGTAGTCCTGTCAGATTATTTGGAATTTGGTCATTCACTTACACGAAAGGAGATCACACGTGAACCTACAATCACCATTTGACAACGAGGCGATGTGAAGAAAATCTTGACTGCAATCCTTCTCAATTCTATTCCATAGCATAGTGAAAACTGAGATCAAGAGACAGAGATGGGTTTCCATATCACCAATGTGTAATCGATCAAATTATTTTAAGTCCGAAGTCACTTTTCCTTGTGGCTATGATATTTAGAATATCGACGTTTCATGTATCCCAGTCGTACAACTATATTTTCTTATTTGGTGCAATAACCTTCAATGTAGACGCATTGTCATTACTGACAGAGAATCAATCTGGTGAAGAATCAAGAGCAAAGAAATGGAAAACTCTTGTAGTAACCAGCCAAAACAAAAAGCCCTTATTAATTTTCGCTTTTTGTTCTTAAAGGGAAAACTGCAACAAGCGATTTCTGGTGTCCAACATGTCAGGGACCCACAAAGGAATCCTGTGATGGCAGCTCGACAAACACAACTTGCCCCAAAGCGGCCTTTTGCATGGCAGTCTGGGACAAAAACATGTTTGCCCGGAAATGTGTTAACAGAAAGATGCTCGATGTGCTTACGGAAAATTGTGCCAATGTTAGCCCCATGGCGTGGAAATGCAGGCGACGAAATAAGCCATACCACTTGTCCTGGTGCGAACAATCAGGCTGCAGAGCTAAAGCACCGGGAACCGTAAACAAACCCGACCCATTTTGGTGCCCAACCTGTCAGAGCTCCTCCCAAGAATCATGTGATTCCAATTTGGCACAAACAGCTTGCCCCAAGGCAGACCTTTGTATGACAGTGCAGGATGAGAACGTTTTCGTTCGGAAATGCGTCAACAGGAAGATGCGTGAACTGGTGACCAAGGACTGCACGAGAGCTGTTGGATTCGAGGAATGGGTATGCCGCAAAAAGAGACGGTACCACGTTACATTTTGTGACCAATCGGGCTGCAAAGCAGAGTTTTCTAAAGTGACCAAAGATCATCACCTTGATGATGAAGAAGAGGTGATGAAACCTTTCTGGTGTCCAACTTGTCAAAGCAATTCAGAGGAGTCCTGTGCTGCTACTGTCACCAACACAACTTGCCCCAAAGCTGATTTCTGCATGGCCTTGTGGGATGAAAACGTCTTCACAAGGAAGTGTATCAATAAAAAGATGCTTGATGCACTGACTAAAAACTGCAGACTTGATAGCTCAATGAAATGGCAATGCAATGGAAAGCGAAGTTATCACATGACTGTTTGCAACCAGCCAGGCTGCACAGCTAAAGTATCAGAAATTTCTACAGAAAATGAAATCCCCGAGGATCCTTCCTTTAAGTGCCCCACCTGTCCGATATGCAAGAATTCCCAGCAATGCGACAGTGAAATGATAATGACCGAATGTCCGATGGCTACCCGCTGCATGGTGCTGCATGTGAATGGTACTGCTGACGTCGAAAGCCTTTTTACACGCAGTTGTGTAACTGAAAAGATCTTTAAAGTGATCAAGAGAGGTTGCATAAACAGACATGGTTGTGAAATTGCTTCCTGTACTCAGTCTGGTTGCAAACCTGTGTTAAGCTGACACTTTAAACTTTTGTGACAATTACTTCGTGAACGCTTCGTTTCCCCCCTGTTTCTGTTATGTGCCACAAGTGCAGAGCCCGTTATGCAAAACATATTTTAAGCATATTAGACACTTTGTCCATGTAAACGTCGTATAATATACCACATTCTTCCTTCGTTTATTCGAAGGCTTAATTACTTCAAATTGTGATACATTTCTAGAGTAATGTATAAATTTTTCCATCCACAGAGGACACAAGCTAGCCAAGTTACTTGTTAAAAAGTAAAGACAACCTCGTCTGACTCTATAATTCTGAATGATCTACATAGTGTCTGCCATATTCGGAAGGCAACGCAATTAAATTTTAATTTTTAATCGCAGGTTTCTCACAAGCAATATCTGTATGTTGCGGTGTCAAAGTAAAGATATGTATAACCAAATAAAGATATACTAGTTACGACCTCATAACAATTTGTGTCTATTTTCACGCTTCTTTGTTTATTTGCTTGTTTGTGTCTTTTTTTTTTTTTATTGTTTTGGATTTATTAATCATGATGACATCTTCATTTTCTCTCTAGACTAAAGTTGACCGGGTCAGATCCTGCATCTTTTGATTGCAATGTCTGAAAATGAAAAGCAAACAAACAACAAAGACTCTAAACAAAGGTGAGAATCAAGTGAAGAGTGAGCCTCAAGCGGAAAATAAAGTTCGATAAACTAGAAAACGAATAAATAAAGGGAGCAAGTTTCTAAAGAAACTTTGCTGATACGTTGGTGGGGTATGGCAACAAAATAATTTCGGTTTTATCAACTGAGTTGATATTGTAAACTGGCCACCGTAAAGAGTTTCAAAGCTGACGTTCCGAGCGTTAGCCCTTCGTAATTCGCTCAGACGCTAACTAGAGCACTAAGGCTAACGCTCGAAACGTCAGCTTTGAAACTCTTTATGGTGGCCAATTTTAATTAACAACTCAGTTGAAAAAACTAAAATCACCTGGTTAACAAATAAGCCGAGGGAAAGTCTTTTTTGATGGAAACATGTATCCTCTGACAAAAATTTGAAAGGTAATTTTCTCTATAAAGAACACCTTTCGAAGTCCATCAAGTTTATGTACACATCAACCGCAATTTTTCAAAATTGTTTCGAAATGTGTTTATTAAAAATCCTTTTCTTTACCAACAAAACTGCCCATCTTCAAAACAAGTTTATAAATATATTGACTCAAACTCTTAAATACGTATAAAAATTTCGTGTACAAATTTTGACGGTACAGGACGGTACAGGTCACTTGTAAACATTCATTTTCAGCTCGTTATTTCGTTCTTCAGTGATACTGTAGAAATAGGTTAATCCCAATGCTATCCCAAAACAAGTATTTGATGGGAAAAGGAAATAAGGCGGTGATTTAAAACTGGTTTCCCTTAGTGCTCTAAGTCATGATACAATGTTCACAAATGGCTATTTTGTACGTTTTTAAACCCTTTATGCACCGTAACATCGGAATTCATATTCTTCATGCTGTTCTCTTTATATTTCCTTAGGCGCTGACAAGGAGAATTTGTTTAACAATCAAGAGCTTCATTGATCAGCGATCATTTCCTCTATTCTCATGACCACGTGATGCATAGCTTTTAGTCAGCAGCAGGTTCTTTAGAAGTTAGGTCTCGCGTATCAGTCGTCTAATTCCTTCCTATCAGCCAATAAGTATGCATCTTTCCTCTTCCCTGATAAAAAAACGATAGATGTATTGCAATAGTCATTAATTTTTCTCACCCAGAACGTTTACCTTCGACCATATCATGCCGACACGGTGAGAAAAATGCGTCAAACCTCTAAGTTTGAGTATCGTCGTCATCTTCATTAAATCATCATCATTGTTATTGTTGTTTTTCTTTCTTTTTTTCAACCACTCGCAAATCGACTAAATCGTGTGTACCTTCTGAAGTACATGTCAAAGAGTCTCTTGTTGGTTCCCTCAAAATACCCATCGACTAAAGGCCCAGCATATCAGTGCAAATACAGAAATACACGAATCGTGTTAAGAGTACTACCTACCTTTAGCTCTGTTTGTCCCCGGAACTCTGTTTTAAAGCCAATTTCCTTCAAGCTTTCGTGGCAGCTTTTACTAATATGAATCCTCATCGGCTTTTAAAAGATAAGAAGAAAGCTTGCTTTAGTGTCGAGTTTATTATCTTTTGCGAGTGTAAGATTTTGCATTTTATACCATGAGAACCATGAGAACGGCATCCTGGTATTTCAAATATTTCCGAAAAAGTAAATAACAAAAAATTCGGTGAGGAAAAGATAGTCTATGGAGTAATGAATCACTCACACAAAAAGTACAACGAAAAGTACAACAAAAGTGCCTATCTGAAATCTTACAAGAGACGTTGTTCTGAGTCTTGCCGCCATGTTCACGCTATCACCAAACAGACAGTATTGTGGCATTTTCTCTCCCACGAGTCCAGCTGCTACCGGCCCAAGATGTATCCCTAAGTGAGAAAGACAAAAACAACCCGATCACTTTGCTGGTAAATAAAGAGTTCGTAAAACAACCATTATTAAAGAATTCTTGATTTCTAAATGAGTTTGCTTTTCAACATGAATAGTTGTCATAAGAAAACGATCAGTACTTAATACTATTGTAAACATCTCTCATGAGGTGTAAAACTGAGAATAGATCATTCAAAAAAAGATCCGTCAAAATAGTCTTTTTCTCCAAAATGCGCACAACATTTCATGCACAATACACATACAAATCTGACCACATACAGACTGAGACAAAAGGTCGTTTTTTGTGTCTTCATGAGCATAAATCCCTTTGGATAACAAAACATGTCTTGAGTTTTCTACATTCAATTTGTTCCTCGTAACTAGGAAAAATTAAACGGCGCTTCCTTCTTGAATTGTTTGCTCTTATATACCGTTTACACCAAACTTTAACAAATCACTCTCTCCTATACTTGTTGGCAACTCACCTATTGAAACAGTTAATAACCTCTTGGAAGTGGGATGTCTCAGTTCTCGAACAGAGTCTAAAATATCTAGGGCCATTGCTGCCACAGGCTCCACGTGTCGGTCCTTTCTAACTGGTACACCATTGACCACCATATACTGGGCGTCCCCAAGGGTCTCAAACTAAAAAAAGATTTTGCGATCATTGGGATTTGTCACGGCTTACAGATAGACACCTACTGTAGTAACAATGCCATAGGACAGTGGAAACTAAAAAAAATGTAGGATTTCAACTTGTCGTTACAAAAGGCAAAAACAAATAATGAAAAGGAAAGCCAATCCAGGCCTAGGCTTGAGTTTTGTTAACTCTGCAAAATCATTCATAGAGAGTCTCTAGTTTGTTTTCCAAGATATCCGCAAAAAGGCTAAGCTCCATCAGATGTTCGAAGGGATGGCAATATAGTGGCAGTCAGAGCACAGATACGTTTTGACGATGAAAATGTCAGTAAAGGAATTTTCAAAGCAAGAATTCCGGTAAGACGGGAGCCCCCGTGAAAACTGAGTTCCAAGTTCCTTCTCTTTCTAGTTATAAATACAAGTTCAGCATTTTAGTGCATGGAACAGTCAACGCTGCCAGAACGTCATTTTCTCCTAATAAATAAACCTCCTAGACGTTTTGGTGGGTAGTATCGCCAAGTATTTCTACGAGATAAGCCATATTTTGACGAGCGCTGGGCTGGAAATCCTTTCCTATCTTCTATAACCAACAAACAGCAACCGTAATTTGAAAAAGGGCTGTTTATTTCTTTGAACCTCCTTCTTATGCTTCACGCTTCGTCTCGAGGTTCACGAATAATAATTATTAAATATTCGCTTGCTGGTAATAGTAGTAGTGGTCATGCGTCCGTCTACGGAAGATGCTTGTGTAGTGTCCGTTGGATTTGTTTTTGGCATCCTCGCGAGTGGCTGTATAGTCCGACACGCGAATAGCAGTCCCCGCTGCAGGTGTTGCGAGTGAAAACAGACGCTTGCTGAGGTTCCTAATAAAATGCCTTCCTCTTGCGTCTCTTTTCAAGGAGATGTTCACTTCTCGCAGGTACATCAAGTGTAAGGTATCATTCTTCCAACTTGCTTTTTCTGCCACTGATATCATTTCACATTGCTCACATTCTTGTGGCATCTTCCCTTTTTTCAATATCATCATTTTTTTTTAGTTGAAAACAATTGTTGCTTTTACTCATGCAAATTTATTGAATTCTACGTACCTTGTAGACGTCGTGTTTTTCACTCAGTTCGTCAAAAGTTAAGAACATCTTATTGACTAGAGTGACGACTTCCATTGGTGAAACGCTAGCGCAAATGTTGTCAAAATTATCCAAGTAGCTGAACATGATGGTAACACTATCAAAATGCTTGAAAGGAAAGAAAAGTTGGATAAAAGACAATTCAGAGGCGAAAATTAAAGTTAAACCAAAAATATCCCTGATTTAGAAGTTTTTACAATCATACTTATTATAGATTCACTCAAATAGATCACAAATAGAAAATAAATTAACTTAAGATTTATCACTACAATAAAGAAACGTTGTGGAGGAGGAGACAACCAAAAGCGCTCACGCACCATGCTAGAGATGTCTCACTAATTAAGGTGTAAGAAAAGTGTATACAAATATAAAATTAGAAATTCTGATTATCCTTAAGAAAATTTAAATCATTCCTTTCACAGGCACAATACCATTTGATTCTCTAATATGATTAGTTATACTAGTTTGGTTAAAAAAGCTATATTTAAAGCCATCAGTTTAATTTACAGTGAAAACTGTGTTATTTTCACCAATTTACCTCGCAAGTTTGAACAGCTTTCTGACCATCTCGTAACCGGTCAGCTACAGCTTTTGGCATCATTCGATATAGAAGTTCCTCACTCCTCTGCCTCTCCTGATCAAGTTTCTCTAAACTCTCCTCTAACATCTTTCCCCGATCCAAGAGCTTTAAGAGAAAAATTAGCCATTAAAAGAAATTTGCTTTACTTTATCAAATTGTAGTTTTTTGGGTTTGCAAAAGATATGAGCATCGTGAAAATCTCTTTTGTTCTCGTTGATTCCTTTTCAGGCTTGTACGTTTAACATACAAATTTGACCTTATTTTAAATATTATTATGTAGATACTGATGAAATACCAGGATTTTCCTCTAATTAAAAAATCATATCTTCATCGCGCGCAGTGAAGTTCCTTTTTTATCTTTCACGTGTGAGGATATTGGTGTCGCCATGGTTACTAACATGATTAGCCAATTACAAGAGAGCTTCCCGCTCAGGCGCGCGGCGGGTTCTTTTGAAATTTCATCAGTATAAATAAAATAAACAAAACATTACATGGCCGCTTAGGGACACGAATTTTATCTTCGAGTGCTGAAAGTATCTCTCACATGTGAGCTTCGCTTCAGCACTCGAAGATAAAATTCGTATCCCCAAGCGGCCATGTAATATCCTATATATCTAGTATAATTACTCAAGTAATTGTTGAGATGCGCACGCTCTGATTGGTCGAGCATTCCGTCATATCTCGCTATAATCATCTCGCGCGAGGTGATTATTGCAGGGGCGCTGCTATAATTGAAAATGGCTGCCCTGCGGCCATTTTCAATTATAGCTTTCCGCTTTTCATTATAGCTTCCACTTTTCATTTTTCCACTTTCCAAGCGGAACAAAAGTAAGTATGAAGTTTTTACTGATTGAATGAAATAAACCTGTTAAAACTATGTGTATATCTTGATATGAGTAATCAACACAATCGTAACATAATGTGACAGAATTTACAGTAGAATTCCAAAACACCTGAGAAACTATACCAAAAAACAATTATTCGCCTTAGGCTCTGTGAACATATTGAATATGCCCCCTAATTTCGTCTCGAGGTTCACGAATAATAATTGTTAAATATTCGCTTGCTGTTATCCGGGAATTTAAGTGGAAATGCTGTCTGCTTCAAAGGGTCAAACCATCATGGTACCATCCATCCTTGTAAATTAATCATGATAATAAAGTAACGATAATAATGATGATGATGATGATGATGAGAAGAAGAAGAAGAAGAAGAAGAAGAAGAAGAAGAAGAAGAAGAAGAAGAAGAAAACGATGGCAATAGTAATAGCAATCATAATAACGAAACAACAAGCATCGTGACGTAGCCTATTCAGCCAATTCTTTGGGATGTCACGCAACGCTCCAGGGCATGGCATGACATCCCGGAGGACAACTATAAAGTCTCCTGGTACCTGATCACGTGCATATTCAAGCTCTGGAAGAGGCTGGATACCAGATAAAACCATCTCTTGCGAGGAGTTATGCATTCTCAGATCACTTATGTACATCCCTGTACGGGCCATTTCTTCCACACTGCTTATCCTGAGAATGGAATATGTTCAGTTAAAAGCAATTACCTTAAATACAATTTCCAAGTGCATCATCCACAAATTAAGAGAGATTTATTCACATGTTTTAGTGAATGTGTGAAATGTTTCGCTGGTAATGAAATTTTGTGCAAAGAATGCTAATGACTTAAAAGGAATGAAAGTTGTCTTGCTCGAAGACAAACAGAAATAAAATGGTAGTTCTACTGCTTGTGCTCAGTGTAAGCAATACATCACAATTTTCCGCAGATCTATTTGGAGAGGTGAAAAGCTTTTCGTAAGCGACATGTTAAAATGATGAGCTTTCAAGACAGGATATATAATATTATGTTAGATGCCATTCTGAAGCTTTATAGTTCATCGTCGTTCATATATTGTGTTTACGAGAATATTTGATAGTGGTGTCAAAGCCATATTGGATAAAAACGTGCAAAGCTTTCCACTCGGGAAACGACAAAAAATAGTCTCAATGTAAGACTAAGACAAAAATAAGGGTAAAAGGAAATGAAATAACTTGGAAATGTCGGACAGTTTGTGAATTAGTTAGTCAGACTATTGGTCGAGTCCGTCGGTCAGTGAGTCAAATCACTCGGTCAGGAAGTCAAGGTCAGTCAGTCGGGGTCAGTCAGTCAGGAAGTCAAGGTCAGTCAGTCGGTCGGCCAGTACGTTAGATGAGTTGAGTATGATATAACAACTTACATAGGAGAACAAATGAACAACACCATATCGTATTTCTTTAGATATTTCATCTGGCCTCTCAGATGCAAAGGCCTCGACACTTTAGCCGAGTAATCACTTCCACAAAATTTTGTTACCAAAGTACCGTTTAGCGGATGGTCACTATGTCGCCGTGATTTAAGGGCCGCGAAACCGTTGTGATGTCCGGTTTCGTCTAATATCGTTCTACGCTCTAAAATGTGGTTTGACTCTCTGGGTTTAAGATGATCTTCGTTACCCACTGATTTCACAGCCCTCAGCGGAGGTTTTTTGCTGGAGTGATTCTTTAAGCACGGATGTTTACCAACTAATTCGCAGATGACATTCCATGATTTAATCTGCATATAAAAAAAGAAAGATTTAATAAAATTTTATCTATAACTTTGTTGGCAGTGTCTTGATACAATCTTATATCAAACGAACGCATCTGGACAACGAAAGATACTGTTAAATATAGTAAATGGGCCCCGAAGCGCGGGACATGATTTTTGTGAGCATCTGCATTTATAAACAGTTTAGTTACTGCATCTGCATTAGGCACGGCCAATTTCACTTCCGCTTTTTAATTAATTTTGAGGCTGAACTTGACCGAAAACTCTCATGGCACTTTTTATCTAGCAATCACTTAAAAAATCTAGAATCAGGGAGGATTACCTGAGTTTCTGACCTTGGCAACAAAATTTTACGCTTGAAAACGAAAAAAAATTTGTTTATTTTTAAATGTCCCCGGGGCAGAATATAAATTAATGAGGCCGATGTAAATTAATTACGCCAGAGATAGAAGATTTAAGATAAAAACTAAAGCGCTTTTTTCCCACAAATATGTACATGTCAAAATATTACCGTTATCTAAAAAGTTTAATTTTGCACTTTCATTTTTTAATGATTTTTGCAAACACACCTATCTAAAATTGGCATCATCGTAATTGGAAATTGGACAACGCTACCATGCGGAAAATGTGTTAAGTCTTTAGTTGCACTAACGCTGATGACTTTGTTTCTTTGTTTACTTAAATCTTCTGTCGCATATACTATCAAAGTTTTCCCATGGAAATGGAGTTCAACTTAGAAGCTTTTTTTCTTTGCGTGCGCGAGGGAAATATTGCATTTGTAACATCAATTTATAGTATATTCTTGAACCTATGCAAATTTACTAATTCGTGTGCGATTTTAAATTATTTTTTTCTACCGAGTGTCATTGTCTACAAATATACTAATTCGTTTAAAAAATTAAGCAGTTGCAAAACCCACTTACGTTCTCCCAGGAAAATTCCCTTTGAGGTCGTCGTAAGGTAAAAACTGCATCTACACGATTTCCAACTAAAATGGTTCCAAGCATTGAAGATAATGCCTTTCCTGCCATATATATTTTCATGTCAGGCGTCACGAGAAAACTGAACGGCATGATATGAAAAAAAGCCTCGCAAGATAAATCGCGATTATGTTGAATTGACAAAGCGTCGGGCGTAGGAGGTTTAAAAGCCGAGTTGTCAAAATTAAGTTTGTAAACAACGTGACAACCTGACTCAGTTGAATCGCTTTTAAGTACTTGTATCTCAACAACGATGTTGTAGAACATGCTAGCCACCTCCATCATTTGCCCCATTACGTATCGCTGGAATCCTCGACGTTTAGATTTGTAGTGTAGCAGTAATCCCGTGCTTGCCTCTTCTGAACAGTAGAATGACGGTGACATGAGCTTTGGGTAAGCAAATCGCATGTGTTCGTGTAAATTGTCGATTCCTCGTAGGAAGTCACTAAAATGCCTGCCGCTTATTTGTATAAACCTATCGTAGCCGTAGTTGCTGAAAAATTTCACAAAGCACGTCCCAAAAAATTGAATGAAGTCTTCCGAGGTCATTTTTGTCTCATTTCCGAGTACTTCTACCGCTGCAGACGCGATTTCCAACATCAGATTATCTGAGTACCGTTCGTGTGTCACGAATACATGATTTTTAATTCCTGTCCGCTGACGAATTAAATGCCAGATTTTTTCACCGTATTTCTCTTTCAAGAAATGCTCTACGCTTTCCAAGAGCATCCCATACATGGTTTTTCTTTAGTGCAACATCTCTCTGCAAGGAATATTAGAAAACAATCGACGTGGAGTTTTAGAAATAGGACTCTTTAAACAATAACGATAAAACTGTTTTCACTGAGCATGGTAATTTAGCCTTTCTTCAGAAAGGGTCCCAATTGTTAAGCGCTTCAGCCAAAAAATGAAGTGTTACTTATCGGATTTGGCCAAAATGCATGCATAAGTGACCGTATTTAAAGATACCTTACCTCACAAGAAGCTTTGTTGGAGGGAAGTGAGTAGCAAAGAACGACAGCCTGCTTGTGTTTGCTTATTGTTCACGAAGAGGAATAATAGATCTTTGGTGTTTCAACGATGACGTCAAGACTGATAAGCAAGCAGATACAGTTTTCGTGCCTATGAATAAGTTATCAAGTCTGTTGAAGAGACAGCAAAAAAAATAGTCGACCTTTTGAAAGAATAAGACATATATTTTGTACATCTTAAAAAAATATAGTTATCTTGACCTTTTAGCTCTTCGTTTTTCGTGGTCTCTGCGAGTTAAAAAACGAAAGAATAAGATGAATACTATGTTCTAAATATCGAGGACAGTTGCAGTTGGACAGAAGCTGAAATTTCGCTGGCCCACAAAATTCACCCTGTTTCATAAATTCAACTCTATGGCGGTTTTGATCAATATTAATATCGGCAATTTGTTTGTCGTGTCAGCCAACCCGAATAGGTGTAACGCAAAATAATATTTGCGTTGTTTCTTCGTTTACTTTTATAGTCTGTCTCGCTGGCTGGGAAAATAAACAAGGCGTTTTAAATTTAATCATATTTAAACAGTTTTTATTTTAAATTTGAGCCATGTTTTGGGTTCATTACAGAAAACTAGGAAACAGTGCGCTAGAAATAGCGGATTACATCTTGTGACTTCTATGAACGACTATCAATGTCTTCATGTATGGATACTTTGCCCTATCAGGTAATTTGTCTCTTTTTGGATATAAAATTGGAACTCAACAACAACCTAAAGCAAGCCACGAAGCGAAGCGAAGTAACGTGGTGATGGCGAAAAATTTGCGCGTTCGCTGTAACACTCTCGACATTTCGTAGTTGTCTTTCACAAACGAGAATCTCGACCAAATGATCGATGTGTCTTTTAGAAATCCATCTCTGTCTTGGTATGATAAAAGTACGTATGGCGCCTTCAAAGATGCCGCCAGACAAGCTCAAGCCTATTGAGAAAACGAATTTGGTAATCGACGCTTTTCCATGCTCAGCCGACGTTGATGCTTTTGACAGCTCCTTAACTGACATGTCGATATCTCTTAAGAGTAATGTATAAAAAAAACGAAATAAAAAAGATGGTACATAAAAAGAGACTTAAATCGGTTATTCACGCTGGTTGGAAAAGAAAAAAATCCGAATACCCTCATAAGGAATCGAACCTTAGAATTTTGCGCTCTGATAGTCTACCATGAAGCTACATAGAAGTTGAAACAGTGAACTAGATCAATACAAGGTTTGTATGTAATACGCCTCCTGCAAACGACTAAGATCATGATATCATACAAAGACTGATATCGGGTTTTCAAGCTCTGACCCTATGCTTGTTCATTAAAGCTCTCCGAAAATATCGAGTGAAATTTCTTGCAAGAAAAATGGTCGAGGCATTCCCCGATTGATCGCATGCTTCTGGAATCCTTCCAAACTTGCCTTATCTTGCCGGTGAAATTCCTGTTTCAAGATTTGGTCAAATGTATATTTACGGCCGGAAGGAAGAGTATAAGTGAAGTCTTCATGCTTATTCATTAATTTCTTATCAAAATAAAAGGTGTACTTTCTAATTATCCCATATTTTAATTACACAAACTCAAATGTAAATTCTCTTCATTGAGGTCGCTGCGATTGCACGCCCAAAATGACCCATAGAATTAAAAATGAATTAACAGCACATGGCTCCCCTTTTTTCCTTTTTTTTTTATAACAGTTAATGTTCCGGCATGGTTGTATGTGACTCTTCATGTCATGTTATGCTAAAGTCATGAGTAGCTCGCACATGTAAGATGTGTAAGCAAACAATTCGTAATCTTGGTGTACTTTAAGCACAAATTGTCTCAATCTACGCGTTAGTGGTGAAAGATTCTTGGATTTTAAGACCGTGTTGAATTGACCTACGCTGTCAAGTGGCTTGGAAAAGATATTTTTTCCATCGCAAGTGAATAAATTCTCTGTTATAATGAATAAAATCTGGCTGAGATGACTCGAACTCGGCTGAATAAGACCAGTGCACTCCTATAATTTTAACTCATAACTATAATTTTTTTCATATATTCTAACAAAGCGTCAAAAGCCGCTATCGAAGAGATCTCACCTCAAATGATTTTGGCTCGTGATCTTGGCCCCACACACGCGTCTTGCGCATTACTACTTCACCTGAACAAAATCCTTTAATTCTGGCAAACCCGTCCACATAGCCTTGAATTTTAACATGTACGGAGAACACTCCTCCTTCAACGAAATACAACCACCATGTTGATATCAAGACTCAGTCGTTGTGTCTCCAAAATATTACAGGTTCAGTCATCGTCTTATTATCGCAATCAATTTTTGTGGCCAGACGGTGTGTCTTGATAACGAGATTCTGACCACCGCACCAGCGCTATGGGGATAATCTACTCTAAAGTTCTAATTTTAATTTTCAATTTAGATAGAAGACAAGAAAGCTGTCAAACTTACCACAACTCGAAGAAGCCGGGAAAAGATCTGAAAAAATTCTGACGTTTTTCCCGGGCTAATTACTTTTCAAGTGTTCTTCTGACATTTGACGAGATTCTTTTATGTTTTAATTAAACAAATTGTTCACCTCATTCTGTAAATGCTTTCGATGTCAAGGCCGGAACGACGTAAACGTGATGATCTCCAGCTCTCGTATCTCAAACGTCAGAAAAATCAAAGTTGTTCTTAATTAGCGGGAGGTGATGATAAATGAGTCGAGAAGTGAAGAAATTTCGCACACGTTTCCATGAAAGTGAGCACGATAAATATATAGGTTTCTCTTCTTAAGACATGTTACTTTGCGTGATAACTCATATTGCCGGATGCGCCTTGATCAGCTTCACAATTTTTCTTTAAGGCGAACAACTCTCAGTATGATTGGCGAAACTCAAAATCGAGGCTTAAATGCGACCACCGAGGTTTAGCCGTCGTTCAAGTCCTTCTTAAAGAGGATTTTACTTGGTTGAGAGATTGCCAAAACTCCCCGTGGTTACTTTCACTCGTGCTTTTTTCTTTCCTTTTTTTTTTTTTTTGTTTTCTTTTTTGTTTTGTTTTGTCCTGTTTTTTCAGCCTTTATCAAGTAATGGTTTCAAGAACGGCACCACTTTAGAGTAGATTAGGTTGGATGTCACAATCTTGAGAGCAATTATTGATACCGCAGCCCTGAAAATTTTACCCACCTTCCCCAGAAAAACTCTCAGCTGCTTAGTCTCAGAAGAAATAATTGTTTCGAGAAATTTGAATATGTGTGACAATTCCCTGTGAGTGGAAGTCATCAACTATTGAGTTAATTCCGGTTTGTATGATTTGATAACAATTTTATGCCCCTGGTCAGAGGCAAAAACAGACATGGGATTAAATTGCGGGAAATCAACAGTACATATGCCCGTGCGTGAGGATCAGTCGACGATAAAGGGCCAGACTTCAGACATCTTGAACTTTGCTGCTAAATTAGTTCGCTTGAACATTAGAAAAAGCTGCTACATGAGTCTGTTGACGAACGAAACGCCTCGTCTACCAGCTACATACTAATTTTTCACGAGAATTTGACAATTCTTTCATTTTATAAATACTTATCAGGTAAGGAGGCTTTGCAGGTGTCAATAAAAACAAAACTGTTCCGGAAAATAATCAGACGTCGTTAAATATTGTCCACTCGACTCACGAATTTGTTCATGATAAGTTAATTTAGGATCACCGCATCCTGATTTGTTTGCGCACTGAGCAATCTTCAAACGGAAGTTCTGATCCGGTTAAAAAGATTGGTACTCTTAGGCAACAGTGAACCTTTCGTTCCCTCAATTTGATTATCAACCAGCCAATAAAAACAAAATGGACTGTTTACTCTCTATTGAATATAATTGGTCCATTCAAGGTCGCTGCCAGATCAAACGCGTGGATTATGTTTACCTGCTAAAACGATTCGGTCAAAATTTCGAAGCCCACGAGGCAAATAAATTGATTGGAGCAACGTAGGTGCAAGTGTTATGATTAAAAAATTATGCCGGCTAAAAATTTTCGTCCAAGTTTATTTTTACCTTCATTTGTGTTGTAATCTGCAATATCATAATCTAAGAAAAAAGAAAATCAAAAACTAACCAAGAAATAAAGTTGATCGCTTGATCTTAAATTTGAAACAGTCCTTTGAAGGCATTATGACCAAAAACAAATCAATTGATAAAGAGAGATTTTTGGAAAAGAGTTGATAACACTTGTAAAGAAAATCTAAATACTGCTCAATACCCAGGAACTTTAAAACAAGAAAATTAAACTTCAACTCACAGCCCAATGATAACATTGCTTACGCGCGTGGTCAAACTGCTGTTATTTATTTTGTCTTATTAGCAACTATATTTTTCGATATTTGAATTTGCGTTTACGTAAGCAAGAAGAGGTTTGAGTACGTCCATTGCAACTCTTCGAAGGACTGGTCCAAACTTTGTTTAAGCCCTTTTCATCGAGATTTGTCACTCTTTCGAAATTTGCATTTATTTCAAAATTTTAATTTGCTTTATTAAAGAGGTCAAAATTTGAATTAATTGTTTAAAATCGAGAATTTAGGGTAACATACGCGCAAGGAAAGATAGATCAAAATAGCGCACTCAGTTATAATGAATTGATGAGAGAACAGTTTCCTCTTGATGGTATTTCTTTCATTATGAGGAATGAAATAACGATAACGTGATGGATGACTAAAGATTGTTGCAGTTTTGAATTGAAAATGTCTGCGCAACACTTTCTTCCGGCAATCTGAGAGGCTCGTCCGTTAATTTGAAATTGCAAACGAAACGAAGAGCTCGTTTTGATGCCGTTTTACAAATACTTAGTGGATTCATCACTTGTTTGCTTCCAAAGCCGTATGAGAATATCACGCGAGCCCACCAGTCTTTTGTCGACTGCGGGTCATTTCTTTGAGTTTTTGTAGTGAGAGCTGGCGTTTTGTGTCTCCTAAATGGTTATGCATTAGGCTACTAATTCTATCAAATAAGCACGAAGATTCCAGGCCAACTGGAAACGAAAAATTTCCTTACTTACCCAAAGAAAGCCGGGAGACTCTGTTCACGCTCAAAATCGAAGGCTTCGTATGATTATGGCGGTGACATTAGCATTCAGGTCTAAATTCATTTTCATTGCCCAATCATTGGCTCGTAATCTGTCTCACTTCTCATATCAAATTCAAAATGAAAGAACGCAGTCAAATCATTATCACTATGAATGACACAAGGTAAAGAAAGCTGGAGGTCTTTTGAATTAAAACTTATGCAAATTATCGATGAATAATAAACAAACTCGAAAAAATGAACATAACATAACATAACATATTTTGGCTATCTAAGTTACGAACTGCTTAACGACCACAAATTATACAATTAACACCTCAGATACCCAGTTATTCGCGTTTGTGGTAATTGTAGCTTGAATACATGAAATTAATTTAGCTGCAGCAAATAAAATGACTTCCACGCCATGCCATACTTAGGAGCCAAGAGCCAAAATCCTTAACTCTTTTGTATAGTTTAATTTGTTGGTTCAGTTGTTGTTTTTTGTTTTGTTTTGTTTTTAGTTGCATACTTTCTGTCCAGTGGTTTCTTTGTTTATTTTCACTTTTATAACGAGGATTGAGCAACCACAGTAAAGAGAGGCGAGTTAATAGCAGTCAATTGACCATGAATTGCTTTCTTTGAGATTATAACTAGAACTACCAAGTCTAAAAAATAGGGCTGCATGCGCGTATATATATGTACAAGATAAAGAAGGCTAAAGAGCTAGACAGTCTAAAGCTGAAAAATTTACAGTAGTAAAATTATAATTGTTCTTTAGAACACAATATCGCATGCAGAAGTGATAAACTCGAATGATTTTCGACCTAGGGTTTTTTCTGACAGTAGTTTTTGTTTTTCAAAATCTACAGCTTAAAGATGGTGGCTTATTGAGCGCGCGCTATTACATGCACAGAACACGGTGCGCAACAAAATACTAGCCACAGACTCACTTTGGCAAAATTTTCTTAGCGAACGCAATGTCTGGCAATACAGGGATAAAACAATCAATACAGATTAAGATAAACTTTAGCAGTAATGCATGTGAAATTGTTTCTTATTCTTCGGCGGAAATTGATGTCCACTAACTGATTAGACTTAGGGAAACGAGATGTCATCACTCTGACTGGTCGATTATGCATAAATGAATGTTCAAATCCCTGTCTGTTTCAAATCGATAGGTAAAAAATTAGGGAAAAGGATGTCTCCAGGTTTATGTAGAGTTTGGTTTCCGGAAGAGCATCCAAGAGTTTTTGACAAAATATATTTTGCTCATTCACATTTTGCAAGATGATTGGCGTGAACACATTAACATAAAGTTAATCGAAAATGATTCTGTCATCGCTTTTGCCAAATGTTCCCAACATTAAATAGTTTCATATGTGTATATACTACGGTTTTTTTGACGTTTGCTCAGGAAAACGTTTGCAACTTACATTGCGCTCTAAAAGGCGCTTTTTACTGGAGATCATTAAGATTTTCAGACAGTTTTGTAAAATGCGACACGACTTGTGCGATCAGGCGATCTTAAGCTACCTTGAAAGAGAAAAAATTTAGTTTACTCTTACCTCAGCTGTATTTAGAGCAATTGGATGTCAAGATGTCTTTTAAAATCACGTTCTCCAAAATATCTAAAACGATCAGTTACCTGCCGGTGCACTTGAAAAATGCAAGTCACACATATGACAAATTAGTGAGCAAAATCCCTTAATCTCTATTGGAAACTGACTTGATCTTTCGGTACGTTTGAAAATAAAAGAACTGATTACGCGTGGTCAACGGGGTGTAACAGCATATTGACAGGTGTCTTCACTAATACGCCACCAGCGAAAAAGATTTTTTTTTTAATTTCTTCCCGGCGCACTCGCATAAATGCGTCCAACCTCTGCCACGGGGTTAGATATATATAAAATTTTCTGTCGCAGTAATATTAACGATTACAGCTTGCATATACTACTAATTTTTTCATTTAAGATATTCTACCTGTGTTTTCAATATACCACTTGTTTTCATATAATACAAAAAGGGAGTCTACTGGGAAGGTAGGAGACTGCAATTTATCAATTTCCATCAGGTTGGTCTCAATATCTCAATTTTGATTTCTTTGCTAGTATTAGTACCATTACGTAAAACCAAAACAACGAACAATTATTAAAATAACTTTAGAAAAATATTCTTGTGGTGAGAAGATCAATTATTTGTCCATGCCGAAGGCTGAGGCAAATGATTGATCCACAAGTCTCGGACAAATAACATGTTTTGCACAACTGACTACAATAGTTATCTCAGCATTCGATTTCGGATTTGGTTTTTTAATTACTTTCCCGAATCACGTTTCTTTGCCCGCGGGGAGGTTGGGGAGAAGTTTGCACAGGAGTCTGACCTCATTTTAAGCGTAGACCCCAACATGGAATGATAGTTTTTACACGTGTATTTGAAAATGTCATCATGCTGACTCGTTTCTATTTTCATATAGAGTTGATAAAGACAGCTTCGTTCGTATTTTCTTCGTCTGAATGCTTAAAAACTATTGTTTATCAAAATGACAAACAAAAACGAAACTCTACGATCAAGCAGAGAGCTTCAGTAGAATATACCTTTACTTCGGGAGACCAGGAGGATTAAAAAATGTCACCTTTTTGAAATTTTTTAAAACTTCTGAAGTACGCATATGTTACCTGATGAATGATTATCTACAAGCGCGATGATGTATCTCTCTTAAAGTTTTAAAATGATCGTGAGGAGGGATGAAAAAGTGGTTCCGTGACCACATCGAGGAATAAACTAGTCTGGGAAACATTTCAACTTTGCACCTGTTCAATCAAATTGTACTTCCTTCGGAAAATATTGTCGTTTTCTCATCATGATATTAGATTACAATCAGGAACGAGTCAAAACTTTGAAAACATGCTTCGATCACAGTACGGCGGGGTTGTTTTTATTACAATTTTGATTGACTATGAGAAGTCGATTGCTTTTGAGTTCAGACGCCCAAGATCGAAATTATTAATCAAGAAAAAATGGAATCGCGCGCATGTGGGCGACTAATCAACACTTGGTCAACTGCTGTCGCTTTGCTCCAAATTTCAGTCAGTAACTTTTACGTAGAATTAATGAAAACAATGGGAACTTGCGTGATAAATGCCGAGACTTATCACCGAGTTCACTCCATTTATTATGTTTTAACTGACCCGAATCTCATTCAGTATGTAAATGGTGGGCTGTACGTGCATTTTGAGCTCTCTGAAATAAAACCTTTCCTTTGTTTATGGTAATATTAGAAGGAACACGCTATTTTTTCTCTAACACGAATCAAAATATCACGTTCATTGACATTTCAAAATTTGCAATGTTATTTTTCTGCTACACTGATCGTAAGACTTACCCAGTTTCGCTTTTGTATTCGATCTGTATGCTGTAAACTTTAGAAAGTCAACAGCTGGTCTCATTTCAGCCAGCAAAGGAGTACCCACATTTTTGGGCGAGTATTACTCCGAAATCAAACGCTGCGCACGATTAGACAGCATGCTCACCTCACCGTCATGTTTTTCATGTTTGTATTGCCAACAATTGCAGTTACATCAATTTTTGGTCTCTAGTCTCACCTGATTTCCAATGAGCTTCACAAAATCATTTTCAAGTCTACGACCTTCTTAATCCAGTTCTTGAATGATGAATTATTGACAAAGGCGGAAGGATTTCTGCGACACCAATCTGAATACGTGAATATAAGCAGGCGGGCCGTTTTAATATTGTCAGTCAATCACTCAAAGTCAAGATAGCTCAGCTAAGTCAGTTTTTGTGTGTTTTTACAACCTGGCGTACTAAATGAGAGGAAAATTAAGTAAATATAATAAGGTGAAATTTCCATCAAAAGCTTTCAGGATTGTGGTTAATATACAGGAAGTTGAGACGAAACAAGATCCCGTAGGACGAGATATGTTTGCAGTTGAAAATTTTGCATACCCTCAATTATATCCGAGAAATCATTTGATCTCTTTTTGATAAATTTTTAAGACAAAAAGGGCACCATGTAGGAACAATTGTAATGAGTGTAACACATGGGAAAGTTTCCAACATCAGGTAACAAACAGCTTCAAACAAAGTCGAAAGGATTTTTAATTTTGCCATGTGCTTAAAAAAACATTCCTTCCAAATTTAGAATCGGTATTAAAAATCATCTGTGTGCTCTGGCCAGTTACGCAGCTCTTATCATCTAATGACGACTTTCTCTTCTATCTGCAATTTATTTCTAAAAATATACAAACTTTTCACACAATAAATTTTTGGCTAGACAATAGATACAAATATATTTACAACTGAAATGAAAACACAATTCTAATTCCTTGTTTACAAGGATTGACAGAGTCGTAGAAAAGTTTAAATTTGTCAAATATCTTAATGTCTAGACTTGCGGTAAAATCAGTAGAGGATTCAATATTCATGATAAAAATAATAATAATAATAATAATAAACATAGCAATAACAATAATAAAAATAATAATTGTAATAATACTAAAGCATAACGCCCACTCTTCGAAAGCTCTAAGTTAAATTAGTCACGATGATCGCTAAATCTTGCTAGAAAAAACTAAGATTTATTATTTTTTCTCTCTGACACAGCAGTGATTCTATGTATAAGACAAAGTCAACTTCTTTCCTCTGATCCAATGAATAACTCGTTCACCAGATAACAAGTTTCCATCATTTTGGATCCTGTTACTTGTTCGAATTCAGGTCTGGAGAGTGAAAAAAAGTGTAAGAAGCTGTTATATAGTTTTCTTCCATTATATAGCACTCTTTATGACTTATTTGTAACTGTCTTTTCACTGCTTTTAAAGAGGGTAAGGGAGGAAGAGGGAGTGAGTGACTCCTCATCCATATCCTAAAAATTTTCATCATATCGTAAAAATAAACAAGACCTGAACTATGTTCTACAGCTTTTCATTCTAATTAGAACAACCTCCTGCCCCTACCCTACCCCTCGCCGACTATGATTGTCACCAACAACTATACACCCGCGTCAATCGATCGAAAACATTCCTACCTTTGATCAGTTTCCAACTCTCCTTTGGCAAACCTCTCCCGTACTTCCTCAAACATTTTTTCTCCGATAACTGTTATCACATGCCTGATGAGATAGCACGAAAAAATCTTACGCCAATACAAGAGCAATAAATTAAATCAGAAGTGATCAAGGATGATAGAGAACAGAGAAGATCATCTCAGCTTGCAAACGAAGAACTTTCGGGTCATATTTCCAAGATCTAAAAGGCGACGGAAGAGTTCTCGTTGAAAGAGGTAGGAATCTTAAGGGCAGAGTACAAAATTGGTTGGTGTAAGTAGCGCATGACATAGCATATCACTATCCACCTACTCTTTGAGCTTCTGTTTACAAGACAATGGCCTGTCGGAGTCCTCAACGACTTCTTCTTCTGGCACTGTGACAAGGAATTTCAATATTAATTGTAGGACAAAGCAATAATAATAATAATAATAATAATAACACCAGGACACACAGCAGTTTAAAATATATGATAAGCTGAATCATTCACGCATTTTGATTGGTTCTCGCATATGACCTATCAGAGGACAGATGCATAGATGACGTCACCATTAACAACATTTTGCTTTTACATGGTATAAAACATATTGATTCCATGTTGTCGGGGGTCTGTTTAATAAAAGCTCGCATAAGACGTCAAAATGTTATAAAGACATCGGTGACACACTCGGCTGCGTCTCATCTGCCAGATTTTTGTTCTTACCACATTTTGATGTCATTTGGGATCTATTACTGAACAGAGATACGGCAACGTGGAATCTTTTTGTTAAGTAATATCTGAACCATCAGTCCAGCCATGATTCAGTAGCATAGAGCCATCCTCCATATTGGAATTTCTCAATAGACCCATGGCATTTGCATTTAACTAATCGTCCAAATGGAAGCACGACTCACCTTCACCATCATGAGCAGCTCTGGCACTGGTCAAAATGTCACCTAGAACCTGGAGAAAATAGTATGGTAAACAAACATTTGGATAATTCCACTTGAGGAAAAGTAAATCTTTTAATGCTCTCTGCGTTTTTCAATCGTATTCTGATTACAACATACCTCTTCTTCTTCGGAGTCATCTTCAAAGTCATCAGGATATTCATTTTCTGTCTCCTCGTCACCTCCACTTTCTGTCAGTTTTGTTGCAGATAATGGCTTCTTCAGTGAGTTACCGTTTAGCTCCGAATCATCTTCGAATTCATCCGAGTAATCTTCGTCGTCCGACTCGTCGAAATCGTCGGAATACTCGCCAGGGTCTTCCGGCTGACATATTGGACTGACTTCTGAATGTAACATGGTCAAATAATATTCGAGTAGGCATTGTGTCATCATTTAGTTCAGAAAAATATATATATTTTAGAAAAAGGTTAAATTATTTGTTGTCTCCACAACAAAAATCTTTCCACATAAAAATTTGGTTTTATCAACAGAGTTGATAACGTAAATTGGCCACCGTAAAGTGTCTTAAAAGCTGACATTTCGAGCGTTAGCCCTTCATTAGAGCTTGGCTCTAGAAGTATGTAGGAAGTACTGTTTAGCTACCATGGTCAGTGTAAGTATCTGATGACGACGGTCAAGAGCTGATCATGTGTCATACCTTTCTTTTGCTCTGTCGGTATTGGCTGATATTCTCTGTTTATTGGCTGAGCTGACTTGCATCTGACCTTCGTCAATCTGCGGTTCTCATCCGGGGATTTGATTCCTGCAGCCGACAATGGCCGCTGAGGCATGCTGGGAGACTTGTTTCTACTCCCAGCTGCGGTCTTCAACAGCTGTCTAACAACAAGACATGATTGATAATGTCATCATGTTTGCAGAAATCGCCCTCTAGACATACACTGAGTTTCGTTTGGGCACTGTTCACTACCAATCAAGCCACTCTTAGAATTTTGGCTAAATGATTTATAGCCAAACAATTTGCAACACCAATCAGAATCCCTGATTTACATAGTAGGAACCTCGTGTATATCCGTCGCCTAACTTAGCTTTGTAGGATGCCATTAGAAAGGTATTTTGAAACGTACTTCTGATATGGAGCGTATCGTGAACTAGGTGAGTTTACTTACTTTGCATGCAACGACTCTTGGAGGTTTTCCTTTTCTTTGATGAAAATTGCGAGATGCTCTTGAACAAAAGACAGGTTAAGGATTGCTCCCGCACTGAAAAGATAAATTAGCGTTAAAATATATTTTAAAAAACAAATAGAGAAAAAGAAAATAATTAATTCATAGCAGTAACTCGTGGGTAACTCGAACTTGAATCCAACGGTCAAACGGCAGCTATTGTCACCTCATCTTGGAAGATGAAAGCAAGTTACAGGGAGGATCACGTGCTTAGCGTTACAGCACGTGATCGTTATGTGAAAAGTCAAATGAACCCTCACTTACGATGGTCTGTCATCCGGGCACTTTGCCAAAAGTTGTTTGATGAGGGCTTTTAAGGAAGGCGAATACCGTGATGGAACTTCCTAGAGAGAAAATTAACAATGGTCATTGAACTGAATTGAAAAATTATATGCGTGATATCAAAATGATATCAAAATCGATTCAATGGTCGGTTTGTAAATTTTTTTCACTTTTTCTTCTAAATTTGTTTGTTACTTTCACAGGTCTTTTAATCTGATTGGGTGATTTTTTCGTTTGGTATTTCATATCTCAGCCGTTGGGAACTAGATGAGATTTAAAGGAAAAAAGCAACGTCATTCTTGATCGCAAATAATCGCAGTTAAGAAATTGTAATGCTGACAACTAATCAGATTTCAAGGATCACCAGTGACGTCAAATCGAAAGGAAAGAAGAAAAAATATAAAACAATGCGACACGACTGGCGAACTATATGAGCGCGCGAGAAGTCCGCGAGTATTCTTTAGTGCCAAACCCCACGCAAGAACTCTTGCACCCTCGCCGGCTGTTATATCGTAGGCTTGGCCGCTCTCACCACGGCACTAAAGAGAGCCTAATCGCAAACGATTAATCGGTACAGTTTAACATGAACCCTCCTCAAGGAAAGCTGTATGAAGAAAAATAAAGAAATTTAAAGGCTTACTCCGTGGTCCACTTTGACAATCTTGTAAAACAAACTGACAAAGTTTGTTGCATCAAAAGCATAACGCAACGCACACATCTCAAAAAGAAGACAACCAAGGGCCTGCGAAAAGAAAACAGTTTACTCATCAATTCTTCGGTAGTGCGCGTTGTAAAGCATTGCGCTTTCAAATATTCTTATGATGCCGTTACTTATGGAGAGTCTAGAAAGGAATCGGGGATTACTTTGCTTCTGCTTTATTCCGCTCTGTGATTGGCCTAAAAAGCATGCGCCATCACCTTAACCAATCAGACGCAAAACGAAACAATCGTGGCTTGGTCAGCGGCGTTTCCACGCATTTTTGGTTGTATGCCTGTTTTTAACTTTGAGTTTTTATTGGCTAATAATGGTGTTGATCTTTGTTATGACTGGCTGTTGAAATTACTTTGGTTTTAGTTAATCGATAGTCGATGGAAAACTGCTCTAATAGGGCTAACTGATCTTTATAAGTTTTCTGACCATCCAGATATTCAGCATTATTCAGTATAACGTTAAAGTTCATTTACTTTTCTCGGCTTTCAAATTCTCACGATCAAGGGGCACGTAAATGTTTTTGGAATTGGACTCTCCTATTGGTGGGGACCCTTTGCAGGACTCTAACTAACTAGATTCACAACCGATGAATGTCCTTACCCAGACATCAGCCTTGGAGCTGTACGGCATATCCTGGCATAGCTCAGGGCTCAAGTAACATGGAGTACCACAACAAGTTTGTGCCATATCAAAAGTGTTCTCCATCATTCGCGCAATTCCAAAGTCACCTGACACGGAAATAATGAGAAGAAAAATTCAAGAGAGAAGTGTTGATAATTACTACCAGTGCCTCTTTGTCTCCATCTGTCTCTCCATCTGTTTGCCTCTTGTCTATCTTTCGGTCTATCTGTTTGCCTCTTGCCTATCGGTCTGTATGTCTGCCTGTCGAGCCAAGTGTTACATGAACATGATGGAACCTTAAGAAGACAACCTTTCTACTAAAAAAAGGTAGTGAGTGATATAAAACACCTTGTTACCTATTTTAACAACTCCTTTCTTTGTCAAGAACACATTCTGTGATTTCAAATCCCTGAAATATAAATAAAAAAAACATGTGTTACTGGATGAAGGTCACGTTCTATTCAAAAAGGAAAAGAGACGGGAATAGTTCACAACTTTATTCTTTTATTTCATCTGCATTAGATCACCCGCCTCTTGGTTCTTAAATTAAACCTTCCACGCAATCGTTTTTTTTCATTTGTTCGTTAGGATTTCGGTTATTCTTCGTTCACTCGTATATTCAATCTTTTGTAAAGTTTGTTCCTTGGTTCGCATTTCCTTAATTTCCCTGCGCTCGTTCGCTGGACGTTCGCTCTTCGTCTGTTCGTACGGTTCACTCAGTTAGCAGAGAGCTTCCGGATTATGGGGAGAGCTGAGTTCGCTCAGAGGGGAGGGGTGGGAAAGGGTGAGGAAAGGACGAAGGAAGGGTGGTACATCCTTATTTCACCAAAAAGGCTTTTAAATGCCCAAACGTGCATAGTCTTCTGGTTCCTGAGCTTCAAAATGGTATGTAATTTCATCATTTAGCATCTTGAACAGTGCATCTTTTTCGGAACAGAAACCTTGGACAGGACGTGAAATAAGCGAGCACTAACAGACTCCTCCTCGAGTGTCCAACGAACTCTTGAGAAACAAGAGTGAAGCGTGGCACTCACTGTTTTTCAACAGAGAGACGACTAAGTACGTCTGTCTCACTGTGATCCAGACAGCCCCGCGCGCGCATATTTGTTTCTTTGCTCTTTCCTATCTTGCACACTTACTTTACAAATCTGAGGCATCTGCCATTACTTCAAAATTTACCTGTGAAGAACTTTCTTGGAGTGAATATGCTGCAGAGCCATAGTCATTTGAATAAACCACTGTAAAGAAAAGTAACCAAAGCAGAGCAAATGAAAGTATCCAAAAACGGCTTGAATAAGAAAAAGAAGTGAATACGAGAGCGATTTTCTCAGTATTGAAAATAAGGCATGAAAAAAATTCAGTCCTGTTCAGGATTTGTTTGTTTGTAAGAAACCCATGATGAGTAAATGACTGTGAATTAATGCGGATTTAGAAATGAATATGAGAGAGATCTTCACAGTAATGATTTACACACTTAAGCAGTAGAGAAATACGACTTGAATGATTTTCATGTGGTCACAGACATTAATTCATCAGCAACTCCAAGTTGGCTTGTTAGCTCAGTTGGCAGAGCTCTGCACTGGTATTGCAGAGGTTAGGCATTCAAATCCCGTACAGGCCTGAATTTTTTCTTCTTTTTTTTTTTTTTTTTCAGGCCTTATTTTCACTGCTGCTTATCAATAAATAAAAAGAGTTCATTACTGCAAAGATTGCTCTTACATTCAAAATGTCAAGATCACATATGATTGTCATAAATTGCAGTGCAAGTGCATTGTGTACCATACATTTACAACAATGAGTCAAAATTGATTATTATTCTATATCAACTCATAAATTAGGAAACTAATCAATCTGCAAAATAACAGATTATAGTTTTATTGCCAAATCCTTAGATGTGTCTCACCACAGTGTCCCCAAATCCATACAAAACACTGATGCAGACTTCCATTCAACCTTAAAATAGCTCAATGATTTTTGTATGGGGTTTCTAAATTCAAAACACTCTCTAGTTATGCAGAAGTCACAGTATCCTTGAGGTTTTATCACTCACCTAATCAACAAATGGTTGGCTTAACTACTGAAAGCCTTTTTAGTCTACTTGTGGGTGTAAGAGTGTTAAAAAAATCACTGTCATACCCCTACCACATTCTAGAATGATTTATCATTCAGTCTATACATTAAATATATAACATATACATTTTTCTTGTGTTCATTTGAATGAATTTTTATTACAGCTGTGGCTACATGTTAACTTACCTGCATTATCTGCTCCTCTGAAAATGGAGACTTTTTCTAAAAAGATTAAAACATAAATTTAAATGATCCACAGGTTCATAAAGGACAAATATAACAATGATAGTTGGTAGTTGCTGTTTGAATACAACAAAACAGCTGTGGAAAAAAAAGTGGTAATGATCAAACAGTCCAACTCAACAAGTAAAAAGCAAGTTTCTCTCCAATCTCATCACAATCTGTGGTTAGAAACATACACTTCCCTAACATGCCAGCTTTGTCCAACAGTTCCCTTCAGCTGATACCTCAGCTTTTCCAACATTTCCCTTCAGTTGATACTTAAGCTTTTCAGAGTCAACTGCTCCAATTACTTAGCTTGTTTGCTACACATGCACTTTACTCTGCAATCAATAACATGCACATTTGTGCCTATACTGCAATCTTAACAAGGGCTGTCAATGAGTTTTGAAGAGTTCATTTCATTGGAGATATCACTCATAGCAACTTGTCATATGTGCCTACGTGTAACATTTTAGCGATCAACAACCTCACCAGTAACATAAAATGAGCTCAGTGTTACAGGAACTGCCCTTATTGACAGTCCTGTTCACCATAAGAGTAACACTTCTATAAGAAGTGCTGTTTTTACTTGAGAATAAGTTATTTTAGCGTATTTAATTAACTTCCTGAACAGACAAACCTCTATGGCATTGACTATCTGATCATGAAGAGTCCCCCCATCACAAAAATCCTGCAAGACAAAGTATACACAACATAGGACATCCAATATTTCATTCAGGGAAATGATTCCTATGTTTGTTATCAATGATATCAAACTTCCAAACAATTGTAAGTTATAAAAAAAAATCAAACTGTAAAAATAATGATACTGATTAATGATGTGATGATGAAAATGACATAAAATTAGCAATACTGATGCCCTACACAACAATATCAGTTTGAATATTCTCCATACTGTTCTCTATACAAAGAGAATTTGTTAAACAATCAAGAGCTTCTTCTAGGGAGAAATGAGACACTAGTCACTCTCAGGGGTTTAAAGTAAAATCCATTATATCATTAGTATAAATTTTAAAACATTCACCTGCACAATAAAAAGTAGCTCCTCTGATGAATTAAAGAAAGATTCTTGTAACGAAACAACATGAGGATGTTTTAAATGGGCTAAAATGCTGTAATACAAAATAAAACAAGTATATTTGTAGTGTATTTAATAGCAAAAGATGTAACTATATTCCTCAACAAATTAACATTCCAGCTTTATCTTGGATAGTGATAAGGTGAAATTGCACCATTAATGTAATTCTGTACATCACTGATCTCAATTTTGATCCAGTTTCCGCATAGAAATTGTATGCTGGCCTGCACAAAATTACTTAAAAATGAAAGTAATTTTAAGAGCTTTTTTATAGCAGCTTTTAATGAAAACATTTGATGCTGAACATTTCTTATGTGCACAAATCCCATATGAAATGAAAGCATAATCTGTTCTACAAAATCTCAGTTTCTGTGGCATGAAGCAAGTACTACTGGAGCATTACTACTTTCCCTGGATAGAATGCCAGTCCACTGCAAGGTTAACCCCTGCCCTTTCCCTTTGCATAATTTATCAGGCCTCCCTCACAATTCAGTAGAGAGAGAAAGAGTGATAGTACTGCATCTCTTACTAATAATTAATGATGATGCTGAAGATAACAATGATAATCATAATAATAAATTAATAATAATAGTAATAATCAGCTGATAAAATAACTTGCACAAGTGAATGTACCTTGCTTCCTTTAACACTGCCTCTTTTGTTCTGTTCTTTTTATTTGGATCTAAAATTATCTCTTTAATAGCAATCTGCCTAAGGAAAAAACAAGTTCAAACTTTAAGCAAGATTTTCTCATCAAAACTGATAATTTGTTGTCATAGTCAAGATGCAAATTAGGTGATCTCACAATTTCTAGTGCAATTTGGTTGATAAGCAAGAGTAAATTTTTCAAAAACAATAAAATCTTATTAACAGCTTACACGAAGAAGCATAACAGTGAGTCAACACAAATGAAATTTTGACAGTCTGCACATGCTATTCATACTTTGCACTCATGTTACAACTTTGCACTCATTTAACAGTTATTTTGCATGCATGTTACATGAATATTAAGATACATGAAAAAATTACTCAGTTCTGATTGGTTAAGATAAATGCAGTTTTCAGGTAATTCAGTGCAGAAGAGGGTTAATTCAGTGCAATGAAGTAACAAACCAGACTGAACAATTCCTTGAACTGTTTAGCCCGACTTTGAACTTATTTGCGCCTTAAAGATTGAAAATATCAATGTATATTTTTGTTTTGATCTTACACAGTTGTTTTGACCAAATGCACAATGTCACCAACAGGGTTTGAATAAATTATTTTTTTACTTGATGCGCACGCTTTGCTTCTGCATAATTATAATCAGCTATCTCATACTCTTACACATACATTATTAATACCTAATCACATGATTTTTCTCCTGCAATTTGGAATAAATAAGTACTTGTAAGTTTTTTCAAAGACCACAAATTTCACTCGCCCTATGCGCCTGTGCAATTTTGTTAGTCTGTGAAAAAATTTGCTTCTGCTTGTTTGTTCCAAATTGCACTCAAAATCATGTGATTACTTATACTAAAACGAGAGCATTTTTCATGCAACGTGAGCCCAATTTTGAAACACATTGCAAATTACAAATAGCGCGCGCTCTACCAAGATTTCACCCGTCTTGACTTTCTATGATGCGTTTTTCATGTAAATTATTAACAAGTAATAACATGATTTTGATTGCAATTTGGTGTAAATAAGCACAAAAAAATTTTTCAAAGACTAAAAATTGCACTTGCCAAATGGGCTCGTGCAATTTACCCATACAAATGAATTCGTTTTCAGCCAATCAGCGGGGCGTAATTTTTTTCATGTATATATTGCTATAATTAATCGTGGTAAGGTAAGCCAAACAAAAGTTAAGAAGTAAATAATCAAAACATTTATTACTCTAATAACTATAGTAAACACTCTAGTAAAACTGTATACCTACTTTCCACTTTCCTTCTCGGCTGCTAGAAGTACTCTTCCACCAGTTCCTTTGCCGAGGGTTCTAATAACGTCATATCTTTCCATCATTGATGCCAAAGCTTCCACGTAATAGTCTTTCCTTTTGTAGTCTTTATTATTCAGTGCATTGAACGCTTCTTGCCTCTAATAATGTCCATTTGGTCACCAAAAATGCATTATTCCGAGCAAATCGCTAGAGGAAGAACAAAAACTCTGTTTTTTCATATCTTCCATAGGTCTAACAGTTGCTCTAGAAAGGATTCCTTTCACTAAATTAAGCTTTTTTTGTGTCTCCAAGGTACTCGAGCGCCGAGCTTGGTAGCCACGCTAGCGGGCAGCAGCTTGGTCACCTAGCAAACTACTTCCTCTCAAGGTTTGGTGGGAGTTTTTCCTCTTAGATCTCAATAGTTCCGCCATTTGGATACTTTCATCTTTCTTAAATTTACTCCTTTAGATCGCGTTTGTTAAGGAAGAAGTGTCGGTAATGGCTATTCCAGTACAACCTCAACCAGTTCAACAGCCGAAATCTTGGGGTGAGTGTGAAAAAGTTTATCGATGTTTCATTTAGGTCAACACATGCTTCTGTCAAATGCGCAAACAAAACAAAGCTGTTATCTTTCTCTTCGCATCCTTTTTTCGATTTCTAGTACACGGTCTTTGTTATTTCCCATGAAATAAGTTAATTTTTTTTTTTAAGTTTCGCAACACAAAGAAGGGATCTGTGTTGGATTAAACGTGCTAAAATTAAGCTAACATCCAGATCGCCTTTATTAATTAATGTTGTTTGCGAAACAACACATCCGAAAAGACCTATCATTATTTATCACCATCAATCGTCCCCGCATGCTATATATTTTTGACGCAGTTATCATCTTCGCCATTTCTTTTCAACTTTCATCAATTCATCTTTAATCTCATATATAATTAATGAATTGCGTTCATTTGTCGACTTTCCTTTCTCGGTTTAAATCACCGTTGATGAAATAGTTACACACCTCTCTGAGAATATTTAGTGTAAGGAAACTCTGCATTACCTTCTTTCATTTGAGAAACAGGGTTACTTTTCTTTGCTCACCACTTGACATATTCACCTGTCTTACATGTACCTATACTTCCTTTTTCTCCAAATGACTTTCAAGTTATTAGCTTCCAATCACAAACAAGCATCCAATTGAACATTAAGTACTTAGCCCCTCAAACATGGTACCCAGCCCATACATTATTTACCTGGGAAAGCATCAAATAATTCATATGAACAAAATGCTGCATGTGAGCTAACTGGCCCATCCAGTTACAGCTTCTCCCAGTTTCTGCTGCAAGAAGTAATTAGGAGTATGGCTGCTCTCTCTGGATGGAATACCTTCCCATAGCAAGGTTAAACTGCCCCCTCCCCCCAAACCAAGTTACTACCCTGAAGGGAGGATAAGTTCTTGAAGAAACTGTGGAGCTGTATCGGTGGGAGAGTAGAAAAGGTAATTTGGTATTATCAAATGTTGATAACATACATTAGCCACCTTTAAGAGTTTCAAAGCTGACATTTTGAGCATTAGCCTTTGTCCTCTAATGACAAATGGCTTATGCTTGAAACATCAGCTTTAAACTTTTTACAGAGGCCAATTTATGTTATCAAGTCAGTAGATAATACTAAATTACCTTGTACCATTCATTTATACTCCTTTGTAGCCAGATCAGCATTGACCTGGGTCCAGTGTGCTAACTGTTGGGTCACCACATCTGTTCATGAAAACTCTCTAGAAAAAGAGAGGTTAACTTTGCAGTACAGTCCACTGGGTAATTTATCAGTCAGACATTTTATAATTAGATCTCTATTGCCTCTTCAGAACTTAGTTTATATGAGCTTCATCGCACACCACAAGAAGCCATTACTGATGGAACAGAGATTTCAATTTCACCTCGCAGCCTACACAGTGAACTGATGTGTCCTATATGCTTGGACATGCTAAAAAATACAATGACCACCAAAGAGGTAAGTGGGTTTGGTACTAGATGTGCAAGCTCAGTATAAGATACTTAAACTGCTATACACTTTTCATATCAACCCTTTCACTCCCACAAGTGACCAAGACAGAATTTCTCCATACCATATCAATACAATATCAAGCAAGTAGGTGATGAGAACAGAGAAGAATATCAATTATGGGATTCTTAGTTGATCCAATACCAAATTCTCTGAACTAACATCATAAGAATTGTAAGGCAGATAGTAAGGAGAACTGCTAATTAGATCTTGGGAGGGTTAAGTAGAGAATTCACAAGGTCACAAGGGACTTAATATGCTTTTTGCTTTTGCTAATTGGCTAGCTGGAAAGTGACTCACAAGGCTACCAAAAAGTTTTTAAGACTAATTTTTGGTACTAATTATTGACAGAAATAAACCATGATTTTGGTTCTTGTGAGGTACACATGTATATATATATACTAAAACATTTATCCTAGTATCAGTGAAAGTGGTGAATAGTTGCCTTTAGTAACAGTAAATATATTATCCCATTAAGTCAGGTGTTGAACTAAATGTTCATTTTATCTAGTGCCTACACAGATTTTGCCAAGAATGTATCATCACTGCCCTGAGAAGTGGGTATGTACAAATTTACTGGGAGTCACTTTTTTTTTATCCCAAATTTGTGACAAATTCAGACTAACTAGAATTATGGTATTTCTCTATATTTTTATTCTAATTTTCTCTTTCAATTTTTTTCCACACATGTAGGAACAAAGAATGCCCCACATGTAGAAAAAAGTTGATTTCAAAACGCTCCTTACGGCCAGATCCTAATTTTGATGCTCTCATTGCTAAGGTAAGGTGTTCTGGGTTGTTTTCTTGTCTGCTTTTTCAGACATTTTGTGGTCATTGTAACATGCAATATTTTTATTGTCTGCCAATTGATTCTTTGTTCTATGCAACTGTAATTGCAGATTTACCCAGACAGAGATGAATATGAAGCACATCAGGTTAGCACTTGGTGTAATAGACACATCTTGGATTAAAATGATACTTAATACAAATACCCATGGGAATACACTAGCCACTCTGTGGCACACCATCAAGGCATAAAATCTTGTGTTATTAATTAGATTTGTTTAAAAAAAAAAATACTTCCTTTTAATCCTGAATCAAACTCCCAAGAGTGACTGGCATCCAATTTCTCCTCACAATATCACCCCTAAATCACACAATCAAATCACAAGAATAAAGGATCATCAACTAAAGACACTATTGATGGTCAAACAAATTCTCCTTGACAGCACCTGAAGAAATGCATAGAGAACAGTATGGAGAATATGCATGCTGATGTTAGGGTGTAAAGACTTGAGTTAGCTAGCAAGTCAAAGCCTAAATGCTAGATGGTTTTTCATTAGCTGTACCACATAATCTGTTTCATATACATTTACGTATGTGCTTGGTATGATCCTGTAAGCTCCTGAATGAACAGTGCATTAGTTTATTGAAAATAGTTGTTATGTCAGCTTGCATTGTACATTTTTTTTTTCACTCTGTTTATAGGAAAAAGTTTTACAGAGATTGAACAAACATCATAACCAACAAGCTTTGACAAGCAGCATCGAAGAGGGACTTAAACTGCAAGCAATCAATAGAGCACAAAGAGTGGTATGTTCAGTACATGATACATGTGTTGTATAAAATTGGCTTGTTTACTCATAAGACACAGAAGCACTTGTCAATCATACAGGTCAATTTTGATCCATTGGTGTAGTCATAGCTAGCAACACAATGGCAAATCTGACCAACACTATGTGACTGACAGCTCTTTTCTTGACCCTGATTGTGACGTCTAAGCAGTCACCATCCTAGATTTTATGTTTTTTTTTTCATCTACCCAGTTAACTGCTATTGAAATCAGTTACTGTTAAATTGTTTGATAGTGAAGCCAGTCACTAAACTCCTAATATCTGATCATCCTGATTTGAAATAAGTCAAGTATTTATTTGTATTCAGTGCAGACTAATTTTAACCAACCAAACCTTACAGACACAGCATACAGTTATAACTGTAACTTTAACTACATACAGTTATAACTTATAACCATAACTGCATACACTGTATGCAGTTATGGTTGAAGTTTGTTTTACCTGGTTTAAATATGTTTTTTAATTTGTTTTCATACATATATGATGCAAGAAAAACAAAATTGAAGGAAAAAAGACTGATTCAAAAAAAAAAAATCTTAGTTAAATTAGTGGTAGTGATTGAAGCTGCATCATTTTTGTTTTATACATGTTTGTTGTTATTTTAGAGAAAAAGATCATCGGATGACCCGTCACCAGGTGATGACACATTCACTGATTGAATGGCATGTATACTTTCAATAATCATTGTGACTTTACTGACTAATCCTCCATCCCTCTTTCCCAGGTCCAGGTTTATGATTTACTTATTCACTTTGAGACTGTAAATGTTTGATTAAAATTAATGCAACTCTCCTGAATTCAATGTAATTCAGAGTAATTTTTTTACACAAGGTATCTGTACCAGATATCTGGTGAAGTTACATTTAAATGTCTTACTGATTACGTACCCATGTGTAGTGGCAGGATCAGGAGCCCCTGGAACACCAGGTCCCACAGGCCAACCAGCTGCTGGAGAAGGAGGTAGTAATGTGGTGCGAAAGCGACAGAAGACCTCATCAGATCCTGAGTCAGATGCCAGTGAAAGTGAGTGGTACCCTCAAGGGAATCAGTGTGGGAGTTATCTTTTGGAGTCCAAAGCTCTTTCGTCTTCCTTTTCTGTACATGTAAATTTTTGGGATTTTATAGAATTCTTGGGATGGACTGACATGCTTCCCACAGAGAGCCACAGAACTCTTAGTAACTTCATGCGACATAAACCAGTATAACCTGTGGCCAGATGAGCCACTCCACTTTATTCCTGACTTAACATTCCTTGGTACATATTTACCATTATTGTACTTGAAGTAATGTGAATCCACCAACACTTTATCAACAGATACCTTAGACTCCACTGGAGAAGCTGCTACAGAAACATCAGAGCCTGTTAATGTGAGGATTTGTCTGTCAAAATTAATATAATTCTTACTTGTACTTGTATTTGATTGTTGAATGCAAAATCAACACTGCTGACTATTTCTCCCTAGTTCAAATTGTCCTCAAAATGTTTTAGTTTATACCTACTGTGTACATGGACAGTCAGATCTGGAAATTTGATGCACGATTACTTGTGTTTTTCTGTCACCCAGAATCGTAATGAATTGTTGTCATATCTGAGTTTCATTTTTCTCACTCTTTTATTTTTTTACACAGGAAATTGAATTGGTGTTTAAACCTCATCCCAAGGATCATGACCCAGAGACAGTGGCCCAGCAAACACGCTACATAAAAACTACAGCTAATGCCTCAGGTGAACTGACTTTAAAGAGAAAAAAGATTTGTCAGCAATCTTCTTCTCACACTCACAAGTTTGCATCTGATCTTGTTGCATTTTTATTTCACTGATAATTTTCTACTACTCTCAATGCAAAAAGCACAATAATGAATTAAAAAGAGCAAACTTGTGGTCAGTTGCCATGCACACACATCCCCCAATTAAACCCCCCAGAGAATGTCTCCATAGTTTCAGACAGTACTGCAAATGTACCTCTTTGTTCCTGCGGAAGTATTTATGTGCTTTGGCGGCATTCCATTGCATGCTTTTAATACATCTATAGTACCTTCTCAGTTTACGTACACCATGATACTGATGAGCATGAGCTACAGGTTACTATCAAACACTTACTTGAACAGTAGTATACAACTTTTAAACAAGTAAAAATATCCTCACCGGTAGATTTACTACATTTGCATGTTAGTATCACTTAGTTTTTCATGATAACATATTTTTGCATTTTGTTTTATGAATTTACAGTCGACCATCTTGCCAAGTACCTCGCAATGAGACTTGCCCTTGAGTCACAACAGGAAGATGGAGGTAAGTAACAATGACAAGTCATAAAACTGTCATAATTATATATTAATCATTTGTTGTTGTTTAAAGAACACCATCCAGCTCTTAATCAGTGGATCAGTGGAAGGAAAATTAAGGGAAGGAGAGGGGTGGGTGGGGGGAGGGGGAAGGTACTTGGAAACATCCCCCTCAAAAACCACTCAGGAGTCTTGGGGAAAAAATTAGTACCAGCCATTTCAATAATTTTAAGATCCAGCCAAAACAGATGCAGTAATTAAAAAAATTTTAATGGTTGGAGTCTGTGAGAGTTATAGTTTCCAGTTGTGAGTTTCAAAGCAGAGAAGAGCCTGTGGTTGTCATAATATTAAACAAAAATCTTTAATACAGGTGCTAACCCTACTGAGGAGAGCAGTGAAGCCACACAGTTCACAATATACATTGCTAGCATGCCAGGGCAATACACAGTAAGTGAACAGACATTACCATCTAGCCAGCAGTAGAATGCTGTGATTTATTAGCTGATATTGAAGAAAACTAATTGCCACAGTTTGGATGATAGTTGCAAGTGAGTTACTTGCAAAGGAATACATCTTGTGTCCAATCCAGGAGGGAGTCACAACACCCTCAAGTTTTGCACCAAGAAATTTTTTGTTTTAGCAATACATGTAGAATAGTGAAAAATGATGGAGTATATTTTGCTGGTCTGAGTAAAAGATGCATGTAGCTCACAGTTGTTTTCAATTGACTTTCAGCCTCTTCCTGGATCAATGATATTGGATTTTGTGAATGAGAAGGTAATCATTCAATCACTTTAAAATTAAGTACAACTCACTTTTGCCATACACCAAGCTGACACACTAAAAAGCATGTGCTTTTATGTACATGTACATACATGAACACTTTTCTACAAAAGAAATTCAAACAAATATAAAGTATATATAGTAATCCTAGATCAGTGTCATTTGCATTTCTAACAACTGGCCTAAGATATTCACAGGATTTCATGTGAGGGACACATCACATAACCCTTAAACCCCTATGAGTGGTTGGCTTTTAATTTCTCCCTAAAATATCAACCCTTAGTCAAACATTTAGGGCATGAAAATAAAGGAAATGATCACTAACCAATGAAACTCATGTTGGTGAAACAAATTCTCCTCATCAGCACCTTAGGAATTGTATGGAGAACAGTAAGGAGATTGTGCATCCTGATGTTAAGTTGTAAAGGATTAAAAGGAGCCATTTCTATCAAAATTAATGCTACAATTAACAGTGTATTTCATGTTTTGTTTTACTTTATTTTCCCAGTACTGGAAAGTCAACAAGCCATTGGAGATGTACTATGCCTTGAACAAACCACAGAGTTGATTCATATTTTTGAACTTTGACAGCTGCAATTTTTCCAGATTTTATCACCAACAAAGTGTGCTTGCTACAGTTGTTCATACCATATAGCAATAAGTTATATACCAAGCATCTTGCTTCTTATCATATGTTCTGTTTTTTAACCCTGCACTGGCTAATACATGTAGGATTGCAAGTTCCAAATGTTCATGTATTTATGGCATAATGCATATAGAGTCACATTAACTGCTACTGCTGTTTTATTTTAATAAAGTACTTATTGTATGCTGCACAATGTAGCTGCTCGCTATGATATTTATCCAGTTACAAGATATGTTAAGTGTTAGTAACACTGTAAATTTGGTATTGTACCTTTTTTCGGTAAATACGTGTAGTATCAGTGACTTTCTGGTGACCGCCAATAATTTGTGCATGTTTTGTCAGCCATTATGAGCTCTACTTGTTCCCCTCATGACCTAAGAAATTAAAAGCAGCAGTATCTTGTCATTTTTCTTGAACTCATCAAAATAAAAGTTGTTGAAAGTACTTTTTTGTGAACAAATAAGATTTAGTCTCTGATGTTTCATCAGATTTTTTTTCCCATTTATTGTTGTATGATAACATGTTTCACTTTATTGGGGGTGTTGTCACCTCTAGAGAAACAGTTCAATCTGCTGTCACATATTAATTTTTGTAAATGTATGTTGTTAATTGGGAAAGCTAAATGTTGCATCTACACAACCGAACTAAAGAGCACACAGAATTGCCACGTTGTTTTTCCATATTGCTGTGAAGTCTTAATATGTCAGAAAATATATTTGTAAACGATCCAAGCATCGTCATAAGCGTCATAAGCGTCATAAGCGTCATTACGTTTCTGAAAATTGTGGTATTCATGAAAAAAAGAAGGAAAAAAAACAATTTTTAAACAATACAAAGAGAGAGAATATTATTGTTTCAGATTTTGTATGAATGTTTGTGTATGTGGAATGTTCCATGTCTAAACATTAATTTGGCTTTTGACTCTCGAGGCCCTTTTTGCAAATCACTTCCGGTATCTTAAGCCACTCCTCCAAAATCCTGTCAACAACCGGAACTGCGTCAAACACGTGTTGAAGGTAAGGATTACGAAGTTTTGAGAGGAGAAAAAAGTTCGCAAGATGCAGTTGATTCTAAGATCCTAGTTTAAGCTGCTTTTTAATCAATTTAGAGGAAATCAAGAGAATCCAGGCATGTTTTGGGCAACTTTGGAGCTGTTGAGCAACTACTTGCCCGAGATCGGACTAACTGGTGTTTACGCAGTTGCTATATTGACCTTCATTGGATTTTGTTCCGATCGAATACGGCAAAGGAAGAACCAACAAAACGCCATTGACTCCGATTATCAAATTGGAAGGCGTCTTGGATTGTTTGAAAGCATGATTGATGACCTTCATAGCTATGGTGGAGGTTTGCAATCTGTTGTTCTTTTGCTGAAGTCCAAAGTCTCTCTTCAACAGACCATGGTTCGGCAAACATTAGAACGTTTGCCAAGGAAACACACCATTCTTCGTATGCGAGTCAGAGAAGTTGCTGTGCACGGGAGAACGAAGGCAGTGAAATGTTTTATTGAGATGGATGAACCGTATGCTATAGATTTCTACATCAAAAGTAAACAGGCTCGCAATTGGGAATCGTCTTTTGAAAAGGAACTCTCGACTCCATTCCAGACCTCTGACGGTCCTTTGTGGAGAGCACGATTGTTCAAAGAGGAATATGATGCAAAAGAGAGGTGTTTCTTGAACACCTTGCTGTTTTCAGTTCATCAGCTCATCGCAGACGATACTGCTTTGTTGAATCTTTGTGGAGATTTCTTAGATTTCTTGAACATGGAGAGTGGCAAGGTTGACAATGACATCAAAACAACAAGTGTTCCTCTATACTCACCTATTTCTGATCTTTTAAAGCATCACATTACCTTAACTCAACTGGATAAAGTTCTGCTTTCTCTTAAGCCCATCTTCACTCGACTGTTGTATAAGATAGTTGGAAAGCCAAGGAATCAGTTCACTGCAGTGATTCCACCAACTAGCTTATGTGATCCAACCATTTTAAGGAAAACTTGTATTCTGCCAAGAAATTTACCCAAATGTTCCATTTCTGAGCTGGTAGAGAAATGTAAAGAGAACAAATGTACTGTACATGGAATGCTTACAGCTGCAGCAAGTGTTGCCATAGCAACCATGTTACAGAATGGTGACCTGCGAATACCAATGTCTATTCCTTTGAGTTTTAGTGTGAATGTGAGACAGGAATGCCAGCCACCAATATCAAGCAAAGATCTGGGTTGTTTTACATTAGACTGTGGGCTTAAAATCCCTGTGCCAGTTCTGCAAGACATACATGAGCATTTCTGGAAATTTGCACAGAAATGTACACAACAGGTACGGCAAGCAGTTGCAAGCGGAAAACACCATGCATGTTTGAAGGAACTTCATTTATTGGACATTGACTTTGCCAAAAAAATGTACAAAGTCTCTAAAAACAAGAAAACAGCAGGTCGTTTGAATAGGCTATGCCATGTTTCTAATCTTGGAAAACAAACCTTTGGAAAAGAAGGTGAAATGAAGGCTTATGAGTGTAATGGAGTGTATTTTGCTGGTGCAGGGCATAATTTTGGCCCTGTGTTTAGCAACAACTTAGTGACCATTGATGGTCAATTGTTTTGGAGTATTATATATTACAGTAATGTTGTCACTCAGGATGTGGCCACTGAATATGCTGAACTTGTTTTCAAGACTCTAAAAGATGTTGTATAAATACAAGCAGTTATCGCTGCCGTAAGGTGGTTATACATTTACTGTAGGTTCACATAGATAAACCCTTTCACTTATAAGCTCTATACAGTGGGTAATTTTTTTGCACCATCTGCCAGACATTTCCTACAATTTAAGCTCTTAGTATTAAGTGTTTAAATCCAAGAAATATCCTTTAGTTGATAATTTTTTCTGTCTTGTCATCATATTTCTGCTTGAAGTAAATGAATATTGTAAGGATAAATTCCCTTCTGGTCACTCCTGGTAATGAAAGGGTTAAGCTAATGAACGTGAAAAAAATGTAGACTTGTGAAAAACTACCATGCATAAAATCAGGTATTGGATAAGTTTCTATATGTTTTACCAAGCCCACGTGGCAGCCAGACATGTCCCTCAAATCAGCTACAGTATTGTTCAGCTAAACCTGTAGTATCGGGTGACAATTTAAAATAAGTAGTGAGACATGCTTTTTTTGTAAACCAAGAAGCAATTTTATGCCTTAAAAAACACAGCTTAGAGCTATTGCACTTCTGTTTGTACATGTAACCCAAAGTTCCCATGATCTAAGGGTATTTTCAAGGAGAGAGCATTGTAAGTTGAAATGCAGAAATCAACAATTTAAAGCTAGCCCACTCTACAATTTAAAATAGTATAGAACACTATTAAATTACACAACAAGAAGTTCCAAATATTTCAGGTTCTCCCAGGGCTTGAGTTAATAAAATATGTTACTGTTCAACAAGTTAATTCTGTAGGGAATTTTTTTTTTTAACAAAGAATAGATTGTATTATTTTATAATTTTTACAGACAATCTGAGTGTTTTAGTTTTTAATCTTCTAAGTCCATTTTAAGTTGCAGTGCAATACTTGAACCAACCCTTTAACTCCCATGAATGACCAAAATTGCTAGATAAAAAAATAAGGCTTTTAGAATGAGAAATAGAGAGAATATCAGCATCTGCACTACTCTCTTATGGCTAATAGCCTGTAGATCTTTTATGAATGAACGCAGACTGTATAAATATTTATGTAAGGACAAACGAACACAAAAGAATATCTAAAGATCCTGTATCATGGTTTTAGTTTTGTAAAAACTTTTATTGTCTTCTTCTTTTACTGTCTTTAATTATTTAACATCATTGTTATTCTGTTTTATCGATGCCGCCAGAGAAAAAATCTTTGAAAAAATTTCGTAAAATTATGCTCAGCTCCTGAATGAAGTTTCACAAGAGATGCAACTTTTGGATAGCAAATCTGAAGACATTTTTGTACATCACACGGTGTTACTTCTCAAATACGTAGAAAGCTTTCATCCGAAAAAAATTGAATACCAAATAGCGCTTCATTTGTTCTGAAAAAAAATATAGATAGATATCTACATGATCCAACAAAGGCCAGGTTCCAGATAGTGAAGTATAAAACGACTACTCATTACGCTCACCGTTGTTTTCAGAACTTCATCGACGTTTTTGCCTCGGTAAAGCGTATTAAAATACTCTCGATGGCGGATACACGCGAGGTAAAGCATTTACAGCGCTTAAAAGCGTTGTACACAGCTGGGAGATTCGTTCCAAATGCTCTGGACCAGCAAGGACTATGTCACATACACCATGCCGCTTATCGTGGTTATCTGGTGTGTACAAAATGGCTCATTAAACGTGGAAGCAGCCTGACTGCCAGGTAAAATATTTCTTAGATAATCAATCCGTTTATTTTGCTTCATAAAGTACCTGTTTTCAGGTAGACAGAATATTGGTCTTGTACGAAAGGCACTATTGATTTAATTACTCTTTTTTATTTACCAAAATACTGTTCTGATTTTTATCCGTTTAATCTGTCTTCATAAGATTGTAAGCCAGCAATTTAGAAATAGTTTTTAAACTATAGAACTTCTCCGTGGTTTTGGATTCTGGTCACCCTTTTTCATTTTAGACGAATAAAAGTTTTACTAAGTGCCTAATTGCACGAAACTTTTAGTTTGGGCAACTCAGCGTTTGAGCCTCAACCTAATCTTGGCAAATGTCAACGATATCAATTCAGACTTCTTATTATTGTTACGAGGCAGATTTCTGTGTAGGTATAAATTAAAGAAATGCTAAGAAAATAGGCCTCAGATGGGAATATATACATTATTATGATGGAATTGCCGATACCTGCTTTCTTCATTTTAAAGTAGTAGCTTCAAAGGGAAAATTTTTTTTCGGTTTTGAATTAGCATGTTATTTTTTCAACTTAACAGGGCTCCTGATCATAACCATTTTTATATAAGTTTGATGAGAATGTACACATCGCTGGTAAAGCTAGATAGACCGGTTTCTATCTTCAAAAAATGCCCGCAACAGACTGTCCCTCATTCAATTAGTATTGAACGATTTTTGGATAACGTGAACCCGTTCTGCTTTCTCTACATGATAAAGGTCTGCAGAAGGCTCGGTACCAGCTCATTACGCGGCCGCCGGTGGCCATCTTGAATGTCTCAAGTGGATTCACCGAAAGGCTTCGAAAAGCATCTCTTTAACGGTTCGTAAAATTCAACTGAAATGTTAACAGTTTTCAATAAAATTCTTTCCTTCTTATTTTTAATGATCAATGATTTCGAGTAGATGAGGCAACGTACAGTTTTGAGACTACAAATGCGCTCGACAGTGACAATGATTACATGTGCTATTTATCACAACAGGACAACAGTGGAGTTACACCACTTTATTTTGCAGGTAAGAGGAAAGCTAGCATAGTTCAAACGATTAACGC